TTCATTGAAAGTGGTGTATTAAAGTCTCCCACTATGAGTGTGGAGTCATCTATTTGGCTTTTCAACTCTTTTAAAGTCTGATTTATGTATTTTGAGGCTCTTTCATTGGGTCTATATATATTTATTATGGTTATATCTTCATGTTCAATTGATCCTTTAATCATCATGTAATGTCCTTCCTTGTCTCTTATGGTGGTTTTTGTCTTCAAGTCAATTTGATCAGAAATTAATATTCCCATTCCTGCTCTCTTACAGTTGCCATTTGCTTGATATATCTTTTAATTTGTTTTTATCTTTGTGTCTAAGGTGGGTCTCTTGTAGTCAGCATATTGATGGGTCTTCTTTTCTTATCCAGTTTGCCACTCTTTTTCTCTTGATTGGTTCATTTAGTACATTCACATTGAGTATAATTAGTGATAGGTATGCATTTATTATTGTCATCCCATTGTGTTGTTTGTCATGTTTCTAGAGTTTCCTTGGTCTATATACTTTTCTATGCTGTTCTTTTTGTTGTCAAGTGTTTCTTCTCTTTTCTTTATTGTTGGTTTTGTGCTTGCTAAACCCATTTGTTTTCCTTCCTTCTGGGTTTGCTTAGGGGGATTGTTAATTTTTTCTCTGGTGAATTCTTGTCTCTATATTTTTGTAGAGAATAGTCTGTTCTATGAGGACATTGTCCTGTTTTCCTCTCCATTTTGAAGTTTTTACTTAGAACTTTTATTCCCTCTATTTGGATAGTAGCTGTTGTCATGTGGAGATTGCCTACCTTGATTTTTAGGGTACAGTGTTTTATGGTCTTATTTGAATATCTTATTTCTGAATTAGTTTTAATGTTGATGTCATGTGTCCTGATTTTGTTGTTCTCTGTTGTTGGTTCTCTATTGGAAGGAGTTTCTTAAGCATTACTTGTAGGGTTGCTCTGGTTTTCACAAAATCCCTTAATTTCTGTTTGTCTGAGGATGTCTTTATTTCACCCTCATATTTCATGGTTGGCTGGATATAGGATTCTTGGTTGGAAGTTCTTTTCCTTCAGTGTTATATATATGCTGTCCCATTGCCTTTTTGCCTGCAGATTTCTGAGTTATCAGAACTCAGCCTAACTGTTTGATTATTATAAATGATATTTCTTTTGTCCTGGACAGCTTGCAAAATTCTTTCTTTGTGTTTGGTTTTGGAGAGTTTTATTATGATATGCCTTGGTGTTTTTCTCTTGGGATCTATCCTGTATGGGGTTCTTTGAGCTTCTTGAACAAACATTTTCTTCATTCATGGTATGGGGGAAATTTTCTGTTAGTAAGTCTTCCACAATATTCTCAGGTGTTTTTTTTTTTTTTTTTGCCTCTTCTTGTTCTGAAATTCCAATGAGGCATAAGTTGTTTCTTTTCATTTCGTCCCATATAACTCTTAGGTTCTCTTCATTTCTCTTAAATCTTTGTTCTGATTTTTCTTCATATAAGCTGGTGTCCACGGATTTATCTTCTACTTGGGAAATGTGTTCTTCAGCCAGTTCTAGCCTATTCTTTTGTGCTTCCAATGTGTTGTGTAGTTCTGTAATTTTGGTATTCATCTTCTGGATTTCTAACTGCTGTTTTTGTTTGAGTTCTGATTGTGTATTAATCTTTTAATTTTGTTCTTGAGTGGTTTTTCTGAGTTCTTCTAACATACTGTCTGTGTTCTTCTTGGCTCTGTTAGGGGTTTCCTTAAGCTATTGTAGAGGTATATAAACATACCTTCTAAATTCCTTCTTGGATAATTCTATTGCCTCCACTTCCTCCATGTTTAATGAGACTTTTTTTTGGGATTTTATTTCTATTGTCTTATCCTTTTTTTTTTTTTTTTTGATTTGAGGTTGCCTGTTGTTTCCTAGACATTTTGAGGTTGTCTTTAACTATTAGTTATGTATTGATTTGTTTTGTCTTGATTTTATGATTTAATATTTTTGCAAAGGTGGAGCTGGTGTATTTTATTTTTTTGGTTATTAATTCAGGTGTGCTGCGTTGCTCTGCAGTTTCCTCTGTAATGATGAAATCACTGTGTGGAATGTGGTTGCAGGTCTCTGTTTGTCATGAAGGGGTCACCTGCGGGTGTTGTGGTGGCTTAATTTGGTTTTTGTATTAGATGAGGCAGGGGAGAGGCGGGGACAGGAGGAAGAAAAGAGAAAAAAAAGCTCCAAGGTGTCAGTGGCCATTTCCAGGGCTTTGAATAGGCTGCTAATGATGATGTTATACTGTCACTCAGGCCTGCAGCTCAAGTTTGCCAAAGACCCCAATGGTTGGGGGGCTGCCACCTTCCGTCAGGTTCAGACAGCCACAAAAACCCCGACTCCAGGCCCTCCTGTGCTAAAAAGCTTTCCTGGAAAGCTCCTTTGACTCATGCTGCAAGTTTGTCCCAGGGCCCACCCACCTGCATTGTGCTTACTTTTCTACTCCCAATTCAGTGGTGCCTGGAGCTGGAGCGATCTCTGCTCACTTTCTCAGAAATGTCGCCCTCCCAGTCGTCCTAAATTTACTGACTGATAAAAGCAAATACTGAAGATAGATCTGTGGAGGGGCCTGCAGGTCCTCCAGTGTGTTCTCTCCATTGCCCCAGGGAGCCCTCTGATGCCCCATCTCGTCTGCTGGTCAGCTCACTGCAGGGCAGGTTCTTTTATTTTTATTCTTTCTGGCTGTTTACATTGCCTCTCCCTCCTTTCTTCTCCTACTCCCCTGAGTTTGGCCTTCTCTGACTTAATGAGCTGTTCAGAGTGCCAGAATCCCCACTTCAAACTGCTGCACCTAGTTTTTCAGTTATTAAGACGCTAGAGGGAACTAATGTGTGGACTACAGGTAATATGCCATCTTCCCTTGCTGTGTGATTCTTGACCACACATGAGAATCATCTAGGAGCTCTAAGCCCAATGTCTGGGCCTTCCCTGGAGATTCTTGTTCTATAGGTTGGGGTGGGGTCATGTGTCATTATCTTTTTTTTTTTTTTTTCCTCCCCAGGAATTTCTTTTTATTGAGGTAAAATGTATATAACATAAACTTTGCCATTTTAACCATTTGTATTCATACAAATCAGTGACATTAATTGTACACGGCCTATGTGCAACCTGCACCACTGTTTGTTTCCCAGACTTTTTCATGACTATAAACAGAAACTCAGTACGCTTTAAGCAATAACTTCCCTACTTTCCTCTTCCTCCATTTCTGTTTGCTTACTTGCTTGTTTAATCTCTTTTATATCTCAGAAGAGATTGACTTAAGACACATCCTATACCAATCCTGTCTCATTAACATAACAGAGAACACCCATTCCCAAATGAGATTATAACCACAAGTATAGAGGTTAGGATTAACAACACATATTTTTGGAGGACATAATTCAGTTTGTAATTGATGACAATTAATCCTCTATTAAAAATATCAGAGTAAGGTTTAAGGAAATAGCCTTTATTTCTAGAAGTGCTGGTTTGCTGATTTGCTAATTATCAAAATTGAATCATTAATTACAGTGAGTTTTCTTGTCAGCCTAAAAGAATGCTGCTACAGGGTCCTTGAGGGTGCCAATGTGGGCTTATGTCACTTGTAGGCTATTAAGTGCATCACAGAAGGACTGGCAGATCCGGATGTAAGAACAGGACATCGGCTCTCGCTTTGTCAGAGAGCCGTGCGGCTGAGAGAGTCTCCAAGCTGTAAAAAGTACAGCCACCTCTTCCATAAAGTGCCAGAAATTACTGTGGGAGATGTGAAACATGTAAGTAAATAACCTTTAGGCACTTTGGGTTTAAATGCATTTACTTGGCTTTATTTATTCTGGGTGGGAGAACCTAAGGACAGTTTTCGTGTACATATTCTTTTGATCACTGCCATCTAGTTGGATCCGACTCATAGTGACCCCTCCTTGGGTTTCTGAGGCAGTATCATTATGGAAGTAGATTGCCCAACCTTCCTTTTGAGGAGTGGCTGGTGGGTTTGAACCGCCAGCCTTCTGGTTAGCAGTCAGATGCCTTAGGCACTGTGTCACCAGAGCTCCCACATATTCTTTTAGACTTAGAAAAACTTTTAGATTTAGAAAAATTTATCTTTCATTTTGGACAGTGGCTTAGCCATCTGCACACTGTTTTCACTCTGACACCCTTCTAACTAATGATTCTTGGTTGGTTCATTTTTGGATCACACCCTGGATCAAAGTGGCTTTTTACAAAGCCCTGAGGGATGAACATTGCTGCATCTGCCAGTTCCACATGCCCAGTAGGTGGGCTGGGAACACAGACTCTAGTTGCCTTACACTCTGCTCCTTCCAGGTGTGAGAGTGTGAGTCAGACACCTGTGTGTTCTGCTGTGGTGGCTTTCGGTTAGTGTAGAACAGCGTATCTTCAAGACATAAAACCAGTTTTTCAGAGACTTTAACTGAAGTTTGGCTAACTGGTGGTGTTTTCCTGCTGCTGTCTCAGGTGACCATCACTGGGAAGATATGCCCACAAAGTGGCCTGGGGAAGTCCGTGTTTGTGATGGAGGCTGAGGAGGCTGGCACTCTCACCACCATGCTGTGTTCAGTTGAGGAGCTGGCACTGGCCCATTACAGATCCAATGGCTTTGACCAGGGTAAACCAAGCAACATTTCCCTGCCCCACCCCAGCCACCCTGTGGTGAGCAGCATTACAGACTGGACAGTCAGTAGTGGATGGCTGAATTCTTCTAGTCCTCTGCTGGACTAGAAGACCCTGCTGGTGGGTAGGAGAAGAATTTTACTAACTACAGTTATTAAAGGTAGTCTTCTTCCACTTGACCTGCTAGTGCCTATAAGGACCCATGCTCTCTGTGGGATATTAGAAGTGGGGAAGACAGTTTTGCTCTCAGAAGCCTCTACTGAGCAGGGGAGCATAAGAAAGGTAGAGGACTGAAAGAGAGGCTGACTGTTAGCTGGACCTTTTGGGAAAGACAAGAGCCAGAACACTAGGCAAGGGGGTATTATGCTGTTTCTGATGGGAGTGAGCTGTCTGCACACTCAAGTAATGACTTTACCAACTTCTAGGATGGCATATTGCCAGTGGAACCACAGAAGTTGCTAGCAAGAGCAGTGAGTTAAGTTCCTTGTAAAATGAGCATTCTTTATCCTATGTAACTCAGTAAGAATCAGGGCTTTTTCTGTCTTCCTTTCCAATAAATATGCTATCGTCACCCTGCTCCTACTGTCATACCCATCTTGGGAACTGAGAGACTGCAAAGGAAAATGGTGCCACCTTTAATGGAAAATGAAGTCAGGAAGAGAATACATCACTTGTTCCCAGTGAGCTTGTCTTCTCTTTTGTCTTTCCCTTTCTTTCTTTTTTTTTTTTTTCCTTGCTGGGAGAGAACAGTATAGGGTTGTATGGTGCAGGGGGTGATGGGAGTGATTCTGTGCCTGTTGTGCTTAAGTTTGACCTTGTGTTCCTTGAGGCTGCCAACAAGATAGTTTTCATTTTTCTAAACCAGAAGTGCAGTGAGACCAGGGTCAAGGTTACCTCAGTTCTCTTTTCAAAGGAGGTTAATTTGGGTGACTTGATGACCTCTTGTTTGCACAAAGGACAGGTTTCATTAAGAGATTGTTTTGTGAAATGTGTAAAGCTCAAGTCAGAATGAATTCTGCCAAATTCCAAACACATGAACCTCAGAGTGGAAATTTAGAGCTCTTTGTGCAGATAGGCAGGATGACTGTTGAAGGCACTAGTCTCTCTCGTAGCTGGGACGTAGCTATAAAATAATGAGGAACCACTGTGACATGCAGATGCACCCAGAATTGAAGAGAGACTGTGTTCTCTGTGTTCACTGACGCAGGACAGGGTGCTGAGGAGGCCAGCCTTGATGTCCCTTTACCCAGCATCTATATTGTCCTTAGGTGGTTGGGGTGGCTCACAGTATGCATATTCTCTGGTGAGTTATGGGTCTGCTTCTTGGGGAGGCATAAGTGCCTGGTGAGTGAGCAGGTAGCCATGGGGGTGTGGATGCCTGGACTGTGTGACCTAGTAGGACTAAGAGAGGAAGTAAACATGACAAAGTTCATATTTGAGAGTTGGGGTCTGGCCACTTGAGAAACTCCTGTGTGAAGCACACATGAGTGAGTTAAGAAAGGGCCTGGCTACTTATTTGATGTTTAGAACAAAGTTTGTGCATAGTCAGTCAGTCAATGGCCATTTTTGATTTGAGGTAGTAACACTTCTCCTAGAGGCCTTTCTTCATATCCACAGAAACACAGCTAGCAGTGAGGTCCCCTTCGCGGGGTGATCCTCCAGGCCACAGCTTTGCATCACAGCCTCTGTGTAACGGCACCAGGAGCTCTCCTGTGCTACAGAGTGGTGCCTATTGGACTTCCTCTCGGTGGTTGCCCTACCAAGTGGGTGCTGCTCTGGACATTTCTGTCATCACTCGTAAAAGCCTGGCCACATAATAGCAGTGAAGAGCATTTTCCTTTAATTGTTTAATTATTTCTTGTTAGTTGGAAATTGCTTGTGTTTGTGTGTTTATCACCATCAATCTCTCTTCCCTTCTTTTGTTATTTCTTTGATTTTGGTCTCAGAGAATGAGCAATAAATCTAGTGCTTTATCTAATGCCCAGGCTGGAGAGGAAGACTTTAAGAATATAATCTTATGAGTGGTAAAATGAAATGGTCCACCTTTGCCCTTAGCAAAATGTAGTCCTGAATAGAAAAGGTAGAATTAAATAATGAGAGAGAAGCCTTGACAAAGAAGCACTCATCTGCCCTCATCAACATGAAAGACAGATTATGGAGGAACAGGGCCTGGCTCTAACCCTTTTTTCTCTAAACTTTTTATCGTGGAAGATATTGAACTTTTGTATAGAAGGAGAGAAGCTAGTACACATATTCTCAGTATGAATTTATGAACCCCCATGTGCCTACGCAGTTTCACTCCATTTTCTTTATTCTGTATGCCCCTCTTCTGAGACACTTGGAAGCAGATCCCAGATATTGTCTAATTCACCTGTGGTGAGGTTCACCCAGCTCACTGCCAGGTGCAATATCCATTATGTATTTTGATCTTTGTCTCTAGACACTCCTCCCCTGTGCCCATGTAGTAGGGTTGCTTGGATTGAAATACTGCATTTCCAAATATGTGAAAAGCAAGGGCTTTCATTCACTTTAGCAACATACAAATGGTCAGGAGATTAATGAGAAATATAAGATGACTCCTACCAGATAGGATTTTCTGAAAAATGGGTCTCTGTGACGAGTGTTAGAGATAATGGTAAGATTAATCTATATAATATTGTATTACCTCCAGGGAAGGGGTAATGCTGTTGGGGAAGAGGTATAAACACCAGGGAGACAGAGAAATACAGTAGGCTGAAAAGGTTAGAGATACAAGAATAGAATGATAGTTCCAATCCCCAAGGAAGTCATAGGTGGAGAAGACATAGTCACTGCAGGAGTGATTAGGCCCAGGGGCCCAAGACTGACATGTGGTGGTCAGGGTATGACCTGAGTTCAGAGAAATGTTTCCAGTTTAGCTATGAACCTGTAAAACAGTTGGACAATTCTGTTTCCACAATACAGAATATTTTTCCATTTATTGAAGTCGATGCAATGGGAATGAGGTGAGCACTGCTGTCCATCTTTGTTCTTGAGGGATGTTGTGTAATGATAGTCTCAGACCCTGGCAAAAAAAAAAAACAACCAAAAACCAAAAACCAAACTCACTGCCATCGAGTCAGATCTGACTCATAGCGACCCCTCCTTGGGTTTCTGATAGGTGGTATCACTACAGAAGTAGATTGCCCAACCTTCCTTCTGAGGAGTGGCTGGTGGGTTTGAACCACCAGCCTTCTGGTTAGTAGTCAGATGCCTTAGGTACTATGCCACCAGGGCAGGGAAGCACATTTCTGAACTACTCAGAAGCATCTTACTAAGAATGGTTTCACTTCTAATTCAAGCTCATCGTGGACCAATGAGGAGTGCAGGAGTGCTTTTACATGCTAGGTACCTGGTTGTCATATCATATCCACACTAGGACAGAAAGCATATTAGAAATCAAGTCTCAGCTTTACTCCTGGCTGGGCAAGAGCCCAATTTCGTGGTGCAGAGCTTTCTAGTAAAAGAGGAATGGCTTTAGTTGGGAGCCTGGGCAAGTCGTGTTGTTTCCACTACAGTCCTTTGGAAACAAGATTTGCTGAAAGGATGAGGGGCTAGAGCTGAGCTTGAGAGCTGGACTGATGGAGGCTCTGGTCTGTCCCAGTGGGTGCAGCACCAAGCACAGTAGCGGGCAAATGACCTGTGCTGCACTGGGGTCTGGATACTGAGATGCAGCCCCTGCATGTGTGCCAGGCCAGGCAGGGTGGGGCTCCCCATGCCTGAGTGGGAGGGGGAGGGAGGAAGGCTTCAGTGCCACCACCATCCATAGTGGGGTGTAGGAAGTACAGAGAAGCACCAGCTGATCAAGAAGAAAGATGGCTTCTCTCTGTGAGGCAGGTGTGATGTTATGAGGTCTGTCTGAGTTCTCTAGTGCTGCTATAACAGAAATGCCACAAATGGATGGCTTTAACCAACAGAAATTTATTTGCTCACAGTTTAGGAAGGTAGAAGTTTGAATTCAGAGTGCTGTCTCTATGGGAAGGCTTTCTCTGTTGACACTGGGGAGGGTCCTTATCGCTTCAGCTTCTGCTTACTGATTCCTTGGAGGTCTCCATGTGTCTTGGCTAATATCTTACCCCATCTCTGCTTCCTTCCTTTGCTTGCTAAATCTCTTTTATATCTCAAGATTAAGATGCACCCTATACTAATCCTGTTATTAACAAAACAAAATCCATTCCCAAATGGGGTTATAACCACAGGCATAAAGGGATTTACAACACTTATTTTTTGTGGACACAGTTCAATCCATGTCAAAGCTCACACTGTTTGTTCCACCCAACACTTGGCCTCTTGCTTGTTATATGACCTTTGGCACGTGAGTTTGTCTCCCAGTCAGTAAAATGTGTGTACAAAATGAGAGGGGAGTATGATCTGGATGGTTTCAGGGTTGAAGCTTTCTATGAAAACTTTGACTATTAGCAACACTGAAAGTACGTTGTTGCAGTGCTTCATTGACTGAGGTAATTGAAACAATACCTGGGCTCAGTCAGAGGACCCAGGGCCTGTGGGACACTGCCCGGCCCTGGCTTTTCCACATTGCTTCCAGGGCCTGCATAGCAGCTGGGCACCTCGGGGCCTCAGCCTCCTCTTGCCAGAAGCCTGCAGGGAAGAGCTTCACACACAGTAGATGGAGGGAGCCCTGTGTCAGAAGCCCCCAGGTGTGGATGCTGGGCTTACCAGCCTCTTAACCTCTGTAGCATGACGGTAGAATTGCTGCTGCTGCTGGTTGTCTTTTTTTTTTTTTTCTTTCCCTGACATGCTCTTTACGTTATCACTAAAGTTTAAGAATCTCTGTTTTGAAATGTTCATTTGAACTTTTCTGTGTTAACTAAGATTTGAATATACGATTGTTAATCTTCCCTTAAACGGGCCTTCTGTATATATACAATATATAGAATAAAAAGATGAGCTAGGAATGGCACAAATGCAGCATTTTGGTCCAGCCTCAAATATTACAAATTGAGCATGCAGTGGGTTATTTTTAAGAAAAAACAAAAACAAAAACAAAACCCACTGCTGTCAATGATTCGACTAATAGTGACACCTCCTTGGGTTTCCCAGGGGCTATCACTACAGAAGTAGATTGCCCAATCTTCCTTCAGAGGAGTGGCTGGTAAGTTTGAACTGCCAGCCTTCTTGGTTAGCAGTCAAATGCCTTAGGCACTATGCCAAAAACCAATAATGCTGTGTGACTTTTGTCTCAGGAATTCATGGGGAAGGGTCCACCTTCAGTACACTGTATGGCCTCCTCTTGTGGGACATCATCTTCATGGATGGGATTCCAGATGTCTTCAGGAATGCCTACCAGGTATCTCAGTAATACAAGACCAAGTGCGAGCATTTTCCAGTAAGCAGGCTTCGCACACATTTTGTTGGAGACATTGTATATATGTGTTTGACATGTTAGAAGCATGCCTGTGTGCTGCAGCCTATGGGGTGTCCACACAGCACAGTGCTACTTCCACTGTAAATATCCTTTAATTTGAAAATTGGATTAATACAATTTCAAATATAAGTATATTAAGTTTTAAACTTTAAGTCTGATTTACCTTCAACATTAGATTTTGCATGTTTAGTGTAAGGTCAAGTCAGTGTTCGTGTTTCTTGGCACGTACCATGTCCCAGGGTCCGTGCAGGTACTTTCACAGACATTGTTAGACGTGCCTATTGCAGAGTCCTGCTGATTTCATCTAAAAGCTCTGTCTGCAAATTATTCTTTTAAAAAACAAGTATAATAAATTGCTTTATATCCGAATTCTGGCATCAGATAAGTTTTGACTTACCTTTTGAGAGAAAGATCAGTGAAGGTGTCAAGTTAATCAGATAGGCCACTTTCTAGATTTTGTAGGTGTTGAATAATACTGATTAATCCTGTTCTACCCAGGCACGGTGTGAAAGCTTGTTTCCTCTGTGCCACAGGCCTTCCCACTGGATTTGTATACAGACAGCTTCTTTGCAAGCAGGCAGCCAGCCATCGAGGCCAGACTGCAGCTCATCCATGCTGCTCCTGCTGAGACCCTATGTGCCTGGCTGGCAGCTGCGTGGCAGGCTCAGGAAGGCAGAATGGCTTCCGTAGTGAGCTGGGACCTCTTTGCTTCTCTTCAGCAAGCTCAGGTAAACCTTCATTGGCCACATTTGGTCAGAAAGTAGTATCTCCCAAATGCTGCTGGGTTATCTTTATGGCTGCTGTATCAAAATACGCACATATATATGCACACAGACATGCACAGATATTTGCATATATATGTGTATGTATGTGTGTGTATATATGTATGTGTATTCTCTCTCTCTCTCACACACACACATATAAAATACCCTCTTCCCCCAGCTGAGATGCCACTGTAGTTGATGGGAATGTGTTAGGGCACAAAGAAAGCCCAGTTGTGACCTCCTCATCTTCCCATCTCTGGGATAACAACTTTCCTTTGCCACTCCTTCCTGACCCTTGATGAGGAGTATGCCTGCCCCTGCTGCAATTACTGCCACACCTCTGTGAGTCATTACTGTTGTAACTCCTGAGTGCTTACTCCAGACTCCCTCTTCCTCAGAAGTGTCTCAGGATTCATCACACTGGGCAGAGTGACTAAAGGAAAACTTCTGAAGTTTTGTCAGTGAACATTTTAGCCCTACCCAAGAATCAAAACAGCCCCTGGTTTTCTTGCAATACATTTTTGTTTTCTTACTGAGTTTTTATCTGTCTCATGATCACTGGGATGTATTTCAGGATCTCTGTAACAAGGGAGATAGCTAAATGTCCTTGTCTTCTCTGTTCAGGATCTTGTCTCCTGCTTGGGTGGCCCTGTTCTCAGCGGTGTGTGCAGGTGCCTGGCTGCTGACTTCCGTCACTGCCGAGGTGGCCTCCCTGATCTGGTTGTGTGGAACTCCCAGAATCATCACTTTAAGGTCAGTTTAGCCAGAATGGAAGGTCATATTTGTAATTTTATTAACATTCTAACCAGAGGCCACAAAGTAGGTAGGCATTTCGTGGTTGTTTGTGAGATTCAATTCCTTGTGAACTACTAGACTGAGGGCCTTAGTTCTTTGCTGTCTGTGGGCTGGAGGCCACTCTCTGTTCCTTGCTGTATGGGTCTCTCACAACGTGGCAGCTTGCTTAATCAGGGCAAGCATGTGAAGTTCAGAGTGTGAGAGTGAGAGGGAGGTCACCTATCTTTTGTAACCTAATCTCAGAGGAGACATCTCAGCACTTAGGCTGTATTTTGTTTGTTGGAAGCACTCAAGCCAGTCTACACTCAAAGAGAGGGGCTACACAGGCCATGCATGCCAGCAGGCAGGGATCACTGGGAGGCATTTTAGAAGCTGCCTCTCAGGACCAGGGCTAGGATGAGGCCAATGAGGCACGTGGCCCTGAGTGAGTACCTTTTTCCAGGGGGGACCCAGGCACCTCCCTTGCTTAACCTTCATCCCACCCTGCTCCTTAGCCAATTTAAGAGTTTTTTTTAATGTATTCTGAATATGAATCCTTTTATTAGGTATTTTTTCCAATATTCACTGCTGTCGAGTTGGATCATCAAGTCTGTCGACTCACAGCGACCCCTCCTGGAAGTAGATTGCCCAACCTTCCTTCTGAGGAGTGGCTAGTGGGTGTGAATCACCATCCTTCTGGTTAGCAGTCAAATGCCTTAGGCAGTACGCCACCAGAGCTCTATTATTACGTATATGATTTGCTAATTTCATCCCTGTCTGTGGCTTGTCTTTTTACTCTTTTAATAGTGGCTTTTGAAGAACAGAAGTTTTACATTTTGAAAAGGTCTAACTTATCTGTTATTTCATGGGTCATACTTTTGTTGGAAATATTTGCATAACCTAAGATCACAGTTTCTCCTGTGTTTGCCTCTAGAAGGTTTAGTTTTACATATAGTTCTCTGATCCATTTTCAGATAATTCTTTTATGTGGCCTGAGGGATGCATTAAGGTTCATTTTGTTCCATATTACCAGTTGTTTCAGAAGCATTTGTGGAAACCTGATCCTTCCTCCACTGAATTGCCTTCCTTTGTATCTTGGTCAAAAACCCATGTTTCATATATGTGTGGGTCTATTTCTGGATCCTCTAGTCTGTTGATATATGTCTTTTATTTTTAGAAACCGAGAGTTGATTTTACAATTCAAATAAATATGCAAATAACATAGAACAGGCAAAACAATTTTGCAGAAGAACAGCAAAGCTGGAAGACATAACACTACCTGACTACAAGACATAAAAATCTACAGTAATCAAGTAATAGAGACAAATAAATCAACAGAGCATGCTAGAGGGTCCAGAAATAGACCCACACTTATATCGCTTGGATTTTTATTGGGATTGTTTTGAATCTCTAGGTCAGTCTGGCCTGTATGGCTTTACTGAGGACACAGTAGGGTCAGGGTGAGACCTGAAGTCAAGATGCATGTCTCACCAGTGGAAAAGAAATGAGAACCCAGAAATAGATCCATTGACCTATGGTCAGCTGATATTTGACCAAGGGTTGAAATCTATTAAATGGACAAGAGGTAGTCTCTTTAACAAATGGTGCTGACAAAACGAGATCCATTTGCAGAAAAATGAAAGAAGATCTGAACCTCACACGACACACAAAAACGAACTCCAGATGGATCAAAGACTTAAATGTGAAACCTAAAACTATAAAGTTCCTCAAACAAAAAATAGGGTCAAATTTAGGGGCCCTAATTTATGGCATAAATAGACTATCAAGCATAACCCAAAATGCACAAACAGCAGAAGAGAAACTAGATGAATGGGACCTTCTAAAAATTAAATTTTTCTGTGCTTCCAAAGACTTCTCCAAAAGAGTCAAAAGAGAACCTACACATTGGGAAAAAATACTTGGCAATGACATATCTGACAAGCGACTTATCTCTAAAATTTATAGAAAACTCCAACATCTCACCAACAAAAAAAATAACAATCCAATTAAAAAATGGGCAGAAGACATGAACAGATGCTTCACCAAAGAGGGTATGCAGGTGGCCAGCAAATACATGAAGAAATGCTCAGGATCACTGGCCATCAGAGAGATGCAAATCAAGACAATGAGATATCATCTCACCCCAGCTCTAATGGCAAAGTTCAACAAGACAGAAAATAACAAATGCTGGTGAGGATGTAGAGAGATTGGGACTCTCATACACTGCTGGTGGGACTTTCAAATGATACAACCACTGTGGAAAGCAGTATGGCTATCCCTTAAAAAGCTGTTAGAAATACTATTTGACCCAACAATTCCATTACTAGGTATATATCCTAAAGAAGTAAGAGCAGGACAAGAACAGAAATATGCACACCCATGTTCATTGCAGCAATATTTACAATAGCAAAAGATGGAAAAAAGCTACGTGCCTAACAACAGAAGAATGGATAACCAAACTATAGTACATACACACAATGGAATACTACACAACACTAAAGAGTAATGTGGAATCTGCAAAACACTGCTTAACATGGATGAATTTGGAGGACATTATGCTGAGTGAAGTCAGTCACAGAAGGACAAATATTGTATTAGTTCATTATTGTAAAAAGGAAAGGTTTATATATGGAAGGAAACTTTGTTGGTTACAGGGGGTGGGAGAGGAGGAGAGCGAACACTGCAAAAAAAAAAAAAGCATTGCCTCGTGTCACTTTAGTTTTGTGCATTTCACTGCACATAAATTATATTTCAATAAAATGTATATATAAAAAAAAAAATGCACGACTCATAGGTGGCTGGCTTCTCAACTCCATCAGCCAAGGGCTGCTCTGGCTTTTCAAAATTTTGTCTGCTTTTAAGATATTCTCTGTATTATTGATTATGCAGTGTAATTACAACGTTCATAGTGTAATGTTCTTTATGTTTCTGTGCTTCTTGGATCTTTGGGTTGATAGTTTTCATCAAATTTGGAGAACTTTTGGCCATTACTTCTTCAAATATTTTTATCTCCTCATTTAAGCATGTGTATTAGACTTTTTCTGAAAGAAAATCTTTTAAAGTATATCATTTTGCATAGGTTTTGTTATATTTTCAAGTCCAGTTAATATGCAGTAATATTGACAGTTCCTGCCTCCAGAGAACTAACATATAATGAAATTTTATATCGTGATAAACGCCATGAAAGAAATGCATAGTAAAGAATCTACTTAAAAGATATGGTGGAGCTCTCTGAGATTAATTAAGTTGAAAGGAAGAAAGGCATGTGAAAAACAGGGGGAAATGCCCTAGGCAAAGGGAACAGCAAGTATAAATAAGACCCCTTGAGTAGGAAAGATTGGTCTGTTCCAGGAACTGAAGAGGCATTTGGAGTAATTGACAGGTTCCCATCCCAGTCAGTGTTGTAGGTTATTGTGGAGAAGTTTCGACTTAACCACAAATGTAACAGAAAGTAAGAGTTTTAAGCAGTAGAGCAAACCAGTTTATATTTTCAAACAATTTTTCAGTTGCTATACTAAGAATCTGTTGCTACAATAAGGAGCGCTGGGGGTGTATAGTGCATAAGGCATTTGACGACTAACCAGAAGGTTGGTGGTTCTAAACCCACCAGCTGCTCCACAGAAGATGGGGCAATCTACTTCCGTAAAGATTTACCACCTTGGAAACCCAACGCTATGAGTGGGAACTGACTTGGCTGTGAGTTTTTTGGTTATACCAAGAATAAATTTACTAATTAATTCCTTGTGAAAGATTTTCTATGGAATAGAAAAACTTCTCAAGGAATTTTATACAAGGTTGGTGGTTCAAATCCACTAGCTGCTGCGTGGGAGAATAGATCTGGCAATTTGCTTTCATGGATTGTTGTTTGTTATGTGCCGTTGAGTCAGACTCGACTCACAGCGACCCCTCCTTGGGTTTCCGACGCAGTATCACTATGGAGGTAGATTGATTGCCCCATCTTCCTTCCAAGGAGTGGCTGGTGGGTTTGAACCGCCAGCCTTCTGGTTAGCAGTCAAGTGCCTTAGGCACTACGCTACCAGAGGATTACAGCCTAGGAAACTCTATGAGGCAGTTCTACTCTGTCAGGATCACTTTGAGTAAGAATTGACTCGATGGCACACAAGAAATTTGTTTTATACACACATACACACACAGTTGCATAGTAAAGTATGCCATTTAAAGTTATTAGTGAAAATTAATTGCTTATTTGAATGGCTATTCAGTTTCCACAGATACTAATTGTTTTTTAAAACTTTTATCTCTCAGCTGGTAGAAGTTAAAGGCCCCAATGATCGTCTCTCACAGAAGCAAATGATCTGGTTGGATGAACTGCAGAAGTTGGGGGCTGAAGTAGAAGTCTGCCATGTGATTGCTGTTGGAGCTAGGAGCAGAGGCCTCAGCTAACAGCTATGGAATCAGGACTTTGTGGTCATTGGTTGACAAAAGATTTTCAGAAACAAAGCATTATTACATTTTATTTAATAATGCTGGTTTTGTTATTATTATTATAAACCTGATAATTTAATGACTTACTGTAATATCTCTGTATCATAAAAATTGGTATTTGTTTGGTTGAATATACTCTGAATCCACACAGTGGGTAATGAATTTTTAAAAGGTCAAGACATTAGTTGCCATTTTAGGAGCTGGATGCATCTGTTAGTAGACTTAAAAAACAGAAAAAAACTCCAAGAGATGATTCACAGTTCTAGGTCTTTTATAAAGCAGTATAGACAGTGCTTCTCTTTGGTAAATACATTGGAAACAGAGTGATTATCTAAGTGTTTGTGTACTGCTTTACTCATTCAGCTGTTAAACATTCTTGTTTTATGATTATCCAAGGATATAAAAACAATTTAAATCTCTTTAGCAGTTGTCCGTTTTCCTCCTAGAGGTGACTGTCTGTATTGTTTTTTTTTGTTGTTGTTATGTGCCATCGAGTCAGACCCAACTTATAGCGACCCCTCCTTGGGTTTCTGAGGTAGTATCACTATCCAAGTAGATTACTGCTTGGCTCTTTGTCTCATGACCACTGGTGGAAGAGGCTTATGCTGGGGAAGGTGTACAGCAGGAAGGCAATTTATCAAAGTACTAGGTCTAGGATCTTAGTCTCCCATAGACTTGTCCTGAGGTTATCTTGGGGAAATAATACTATACCCTAGTTTGTTTCTTTATTGAATGCAAGGACCAGTTAGGGGATGGTCCATTAATGTCCACATGAATGCCCGTACTGAATAAATGTTTGTTAGGGATGTGGTTGATCACTACCTCAGAGAGAAAGCAAAAAAGTTGAGTAAATGGCATATACAAGTGCAGGTGGAAGAAAAAGCCTTTGAATCTTGCATCACTGTATCCTTGTAGATGGTTTCATAATGATAACTATAACAAACAATTTCTGTAGAAATTTTATTTAGCAGTCAAAATTTCCTTCACATTCATCACTGTTGAACAACAAGATCTTTCATCTTCCTGCTCATCCTACTTTAACTCAAGTCATAATCAGTTCTAGGCACAAAGGTTTTCATTTTCTCAAAATCAAGTTTTAACTATTCAAGGTTACTGCGAAGCTGATTTTGTGAAAGTATGTACTGAACAGTTTTCACTCTCTGTTAGTACAGATTAATCTTTTCTTTAAATAAAGTTAGGTGTAACTATTTTTGGTTTTAAAATTGATTTTCATCAGAAAATAACAGTGACACATGATATATTAAAGTTCAACTCTAACCAGTCCAAGGGTGTTTGCTATCTACATGGCATTCCATCAGCACATGGGCACGCTGTGACAGTGCCAAGTGCTAGGCGCTCTTTGGTAGAGTGTATGTCGCCACACTTACCACTTCTGCTGCCACAGTGTCCTGTGTGCTAGTGGAGGTGCCAAGCAGCTTTGCAATGCCAGGACTTAAGGCTGCTATAGTTGTTTTTCATATTATGCACGATAAATTGTAGCACAATAATCATGATATAACAACTTAGTAGCAAAAAATGAGTATTTTACTACATTTGATTATCATACAAAAATAGGCACATTTTCTATTTTAAAAAACATTAACAGTACCTAATTTTTTGAAACTTGTAAATTAACAGAAAAACATTATTAATGGAATTGAAATGACCATGTAAGAAAAGAAAATTAGGGAAATGCTCAATCCAAAAAAACAATGAATTCAGAACAATTTGTAATAATAAAAAAGCAGCTGAATGAAAAAACTAAGAATTGTTATCCTTTTGATGGTAGGACATGTTGTGGCTCTCTTAAGGAGGCTGGGAATGGCTTCTGATCAGGGACTAGAAAGTGTGCAATGACAATAATGCTTTGTGTATAAAATGGCAACAGCCCTTATTTTCTAGGCAACAATTTGGCAAAAACAAACAATGGTTTTATCCACAAAAGAGATTCCTAAGACATTTTACAAAAAACTTCTCTTTCAATCTAGAGATACTATAAATTTTTAAAAGACAATTCAAATGCAAATCTCTATTCATCACATATAAAAATGCAGTATTCTGAAACAACTTTTTAGAAAAGGAAATAAGCCAACTAGAAACTTTACTATAAAATGTTCAAAATGTTAAGATGGCAATTTAAGAAACTCTTAACTCATACGGCCAAATTTGAAAATATCTTTCAAACAGAATAAAGTGAGGGGGATGTTGCTAAACAGTGCTGTTAAGAAGTTTATGCTTCCACCCTTTAACTTTGGCTTGGCTCCTGTCATACAACTTGAAAACAAGGGCATTCGGGGCCACAAATACACTTTTCTCTGCTTCTCAAGTATCCACTGAATGTTGCTGTCAAGTCAGAAATGGGGTGTGGTAGGTGTGCTCTTCTGTGTATTACAATGGCAGTATTTTCAGAAAGGTGTATTTTTATTTTCAAAATGTTCTTAGTATTAAGAATCTGAGATTTTCCAGAGAAAAGTGCCAACAGCAGTTTACCCTGCTACACAAACTAACAGGAGAGGTGGGTTCTCCCTGTGCAAACGGTGCTGTCCCTATTACTAACCTTGCTATTCTTGGACAGAGCTGGGGTTATGCCTCCCTCAGATGCACTGCCCTGAGGGGTCTCATGGAATGAGTACTGCACAGTGGCTCCAGAGGGAAAGAAGTGTAGCTTTAGAGATGGCCCAGCTACTGGTATGAAGCTTAGTGTGAAAAGGCTGTTTTAATATGCAGTGGTATTTTAACACCCTATTTTTAAAAACTGAAATTATATTTTGTTCTATGTTGTTCATACATTAATATTAATGTCAAAGGCACTTCAAAGTTTACTGATGTTATCTATAACAAATACTTTACAGTTACAGCTCAAATCATTTCAAAGTTACCCCTATGAAGTAAAAGAAAACCCATGATTTTAAAACACAGATTAAAGTTCCAAACATGGTGATCTAGTAATTATGGCCCTTAGAACACTGGACAATTAGAGAAAATATAAAATGACCAGAAAAATACATGAATCCTAGTAACTAAGCCTTTTGGGTGTTTATCAGACACTTCTGGAAATACGCTGTTTGCTGCAATTGAGTTGACTCCAACTCACGGTGACTTTAACAGAATGGAATTACGCTTGTTCCTGCACCACATCTTTAGGATCACTGGTGTGTTTATCTGGCGATACACTAATTTCTCCTATTTTCCTGGTATCTGCTTTTTTGGGTTGCTAATTTGACTGAAGAGCAGGTAACCTTTAGCAGGTGATAGGAAAAATGGATGCAGACAAAAATGTGGGATTACATGCCTACAAATCACCTGAAAATAAGTCAGGCCTGTAATAACAGAAAGAGGAATTATGTTAAAAATGTATGCCTACCATTAAAAAAACTGAAGGAAGCATGATTCAACAGGTTTTTAAATATTAGTGCAAACTTCAACTGTTATTCTCACATATAAAATTACTAGAGCTTCAAAAGGCTAGGTTAGCAATTTTAATTCAGAGGAAAAAAGGAGCTTTCCTCAAAATGTTAAAAAAAATAATACTCTTTAGTCCTCATTTGCTAATGTCTCAGTAGATAACCATATTTTGGCCCCACTTAAGAATTTGCTTAATGGTGTTCCTGAAATGCTCCGTCTGCACAGATTGCCCACAGGAGAAAATGGAAAAGAAGAAGAGAGGAACTCGGGGGTTCCCGAGGTGGTGTGTGGGCTGCTGGCTTGGAAGTACATCCTGCTCTGGTCAGGCTGTGCGTAGCAGGCTGGCAGAGGGCCACGCTGGTGCTGTCGGAGCATCCTGCTGAGCATGTCGATCTCATCCACCAGAAGGGAGGCCTTATGAAAGGCAGTGATGAAGCCGCCTCCACTGATCTGGGCCTCGGGGACCCAGCGAAAGTAGCAGAGTTTCCACAGCTTTATGTGTGTTCCCGACAGACGTGGCAAGATGATGCCATGCAGGTCAGTGGGTTTGGAGAACCAGTCTCTGAAGTACTGCTCCACACCACTGTTCTGGCTCTCCAGTTGCTGAGATGGGTCTGGCTTTAGTTTTAATATCAAAGAATTTCTTCTCGGAAGTAATTCTTGATCACTGATGATTCCATTCTTCAAAGAAGATGGCATTCCTCGTAGGGTGGAACTGTAGGTTTTCTGTATAGAAGACAAATTTTACAGTCTTCCTGAAGTATGTACCAAGACAATAATGGGCCAATGGCAAAAAATAACACTGAAAAATGGTGGCATTTTCGCCACAGAGGACATTTTGTTCCTTCTCTTCTTATACTCATTCTACTCTTCCTCCACTGGAATTTTACATTTTTAGGTGCTAATGCTACCTAGGGTACTACCACTAGCCTGCATGGGGGGGAGGGGAGGTGAACACATTCTATCCATTAATTTGTTCAGGTGTAAATTCCTAAGATTTCTGGGTTAAAAAAAAAAAATCTCAAGCTGGCTGACTACCAAGAACTAGCAGGGCAGAGTGGAGGGTTGCAAGGGTTGGAATTCTCCAGCTCAGAACTGCCTCCTACTGGCCGATGGTACAGTGAAGTATTTGGTATGGCTCTCCTAGCCATGGTCTTTGACTCCACTGAATGACTGGGAGGAACTAAGTAAATATAAGGTGCTATTGGTCTACCAGGAAGCTCTGGCAGCATAGTGCCTAAGGCATTTGACTGCTAACCAGAAGGCTGGCGGTTCAAACCCACCAGCCGCTCCTCAGAAGGAAGGATGGGCAATCTACTTCTATAGTGATACTGCCTTGGAAACCCAAGGAGGGGTCGCTATGAATCGGGTCTGACTGGACAGCACATAACAACAACATCATTGGTCTACCGAGGGGATCGGATAGCTTATTAGTAATGAATTAGGTACATGGTACCCTTGTGGACGTGGGGCCATGCAAATGAAGGTGTATTGAACCCTAATGTGGGGACTGGTTAGTTTTGTCATTCTGGTGGGCTCTGGTGGTTCTGACTGCTAACCAGAAGGCTGGTGGTTCAAACCCACCAGCCACTCCTCGGAAGAATGGGGAATCTACTTCTGTAGAGATACTGCCTTGGAAACCCAAGGTAGGGTTGCTGTGAGTTGGATCTGACTCAACGGCACTGAGTTTTTAGAGACAAACGGGGGGTTTCACTGCCATCAAGAAAGAAGAACTGGAGATGGAACGCGTGTGTCTTTAGACCCAAGATCCCTGTGCTGGACCTTCTTGGCAGAGACACGACAAGGAGGACTGGCAGGGACAACCGGCAGAAATGGTGGCAGTGGTACCAAGAGGCATGAGACACAGTGGCAAACTTGCTGGGCCATGGAACAAGAAAGCTGAGTGCCTTTGGGCGGGAGCCTTGCTGGCCAAGTGAGGTGCACCTAAGGCCAAAGGGCCTGAGGGCCTGGCCAAGGGGAGGCTGTAATGATCGAAGAATTGTATACTGAGCCTTCCTGAACCTGAACTGTAACCTGTTGCTTCCTTAATAAATCCCATTTTCCTTATCCTGAGTACTGTCTGTGAGTTCTGTGTGGTCACTGCAATGAATTATCGAACTCGGCAGAAAAGTAGTGAGTGCAGTGGGACGGCTGGTGTCAGAGTTGGTAAAAAGGTTGGAGAGTGGTGGCATGTCTGGCCTCGTAGGAATAAGCCTTGGGCTGCTGCTGGTGATTCTGTTTCCCACTTGTGAGGTTGGAGGAGATCAGAGGATGGTGCCTCCATGTCTTTTTTGCATGGCATCAGATACTCATCAGGGTTTGGGTGCTCAGACGTGAGAAGAGAAGTCAGGAGAAAAGAAGATCAGCTAAACAGTTAAAATCAAAAAACCAATTCCACTGCCATCTAGTCAATTCCTACTCATAGCAACCCCCTTTGGGTTTCCAAGGTGATAAATCTTTACAGAAGTAGACTGCCCCATCGTTCTTCCAAGGAGTGGCTAGTGGATTTGAACCACTAACCTTCTGGTTATCAATCAAAATCTTAGGGACTGTGCCACCAGAGCCCTCAGAAACTTGTATTTGCAGCACTGTTGTGGGAAATAACTTCATTTCTAATACTCTTGTTCTGAAAACGATGTTTTTGGTTATATGTGAGCAAGTATCAGGTTCATACTCTTAGTGCATTTTTGTGATTACCTTTGTCCGCTTAAAAGATTTCACAGAACCATTTTGTATACAAGGTGTGCTCTTTCCAACATATAAAGGATTATGGAAAAGAGTGCAATCCTTTGCTGTAAACTGAAGAGACCAGTCCCAAACTGATGGAAATTTTAAGCCCTTTTCATCACCCAACTGGATATTTCTGCTTATAGCAAATTCCTGCAAGATAAAATATTTGAACATTGTGGAGAGATGCAAAACTAAGGATCTTGTCTTACAAATTACTTCTTCTGATGAGCAAATCATCATTGTACAAGTCAAATTTTCTGAACAGGTACAATCAGAACCCATTCAAGCAGCACATTTTACTTCAAGACAGAGAAGAGACATTCTTTGGCACTTCAAATAAAAGGAACATTAATGTGTCTGTGGAACATGGCATGTGTGTGCTTAGTGCCCTCCCTTCCTTACACTAAGGAAGTTTGACCCTCTGGGTAATAAGCATGTTATTAAGGGAAGTAAAGTTTCACTAATGTGATACCATAAAGTCTTAAACATGTCAAAATTATTTTTAGAATCACAGTATTTTACTTTTATGCTGCACATGATCATACCTGTAAGCAATTGCCTTTATAAAACTTGGTTAAGTAGTATGACCAAAAAAAAAAAAAAAAAAAAAACACCATTGGATGGAATTCACTGCCACCTATTTTACAACTTATTTTCTAAAAGCAGAGAAACATTCCACTTATCCAGTTATCGTAAATATCCAAGGGACAGCCAAGGAGCAGAGAGGAAGGCATCATGGCGTTAACATTTGGCTGAGACTGGGTCACTTACAGGAAACTATCTCATGCCCCCTCAGGGCTTATGCAGCCTTAGGGCTCTGGTGCTATCCCGCCTATGCAAATCAAACCAATCACTGGCTGCAGGCAGACTCCACACTGGAGGAGGAGGAGATAAGTATAGTTGGGAGGCAATCTAGAGTATCTCAATCCATGGCAGGCACATGAAAGGAACATCATCCTAAATGAGTGACAAAAGCAACTACAAGAACAATTTAGTTCCCTTGGGGAAATATCTCAAAATACTGAGTGCACAGTGAGAAATGATGGATTTTTATTTTCTGCTTTGTACTTTTCAGTATTTTCCAAAATTTCTACCAAATAAACATAAATTTCTTTGGAATAAGGAAAAGAAAAAAAGGGTAAATGTTATTAGGGAAGACATTCTGCAGGCAGGAGGTCAGCAACATCTAGAGCCAGGTCTACTGCCTATTGCCACAACCATGGCCCTGGAACACACATAACAGCAGGATATTCTTAAGCATTTTATAGACTTTTCTATTTCAAATAAGTAAAAACTCAATAAGTATCAAAATATACTATTATACATTTTTAGTTATTTGAAATATCATGTATGTTGCTATTCTTGTTAGGTACTGTTGAGTTAGTTCCAACTCTTGGTGACCCTATGTACAACAGAACAAAACACTACCAGTCCTGCACCATCCTCCCGATCATTGCCATGTTTGATCACATCGTTGCAGCCACTGTGTCAATCCACCTTATTGAGGGTCTTCCTCTTTTTCACTGATCCTCTAACTTTACCGAGCATGATACCCTTCTCCAGCAACTGGTCCCTCCTGTTAACTTGTCCAAAGTGTGTGAGATGAAGTCTCGCCATGCTAGTGTCTAAGGGGCATTATGATTTATTTCTTCCAAGTTAGATTTATTCATTCTTCTTGTCCATGGTATATTCGGTATTCTTCTCTAACACCATAATTGAAATACATCAATTCTTCTTTGGTCTTTCTTATTCACTGCCTACCTTTTTTCCATGCATATGAAGTGAATGAAAATACCATGGCTTGGGTCAGGTGCAACTTAATCCTCAAGTGACATCCTTGCTTCTGAACACTTTAAAGAGGTCTTTTGCAGTAAAATTTCCCCAAAGCAAAATGCAATTTGATTTCTTAACTGCTGCTTCCATGGGCACTAATTGTGGATCCAAGTAAAATGAAATCCTTGACAACTTCAAATCTCTTCTCCATTTATAATGATGTTGCTTACTGGTCCAGTTGTGAGGATTTTTGTTTTCTTTATGTTGAGTTGTTATCCATACTGAGGCCTGTAGTCTTAAATTCATCAGTAAGTGCTTCAAGTCTACTTTGCTTTCAGCAAGCAAGGTTTATCATCTGCATATTGCAGTTTAATGACTCCTCCCCAATCCTGATGCCACATTCTTCTTCATATAATCCAGTTTCTTAGATTATTTGCTTATCATACAGATTAAATGAGTATTATGAAAGGATACAACCCTGATGCACACCTGTCCTGATTTTAAATCACACAGTATCCCCTTTTCCTTTTTGAATAACTGCCTCTTGGTATATGTACAGGTTCCACATGAGCACAATTAAGTATTCTGGAATGCCCATTCTCTGCAATGTTATCCAAATTTGCTATGGTGCACACAGTTGAATGCTTTTGTATAGTCAATAAAACACAAGTAAACATCTTTCTAGTATTTTCTGCTTTCAGCCAAGATCCATCTGAAATGAGCAATGACAGATATCCCTCATTCCATATCTTCTTCTGAATCTGGCTTGAATTTCTGGCAGTTCTCGGTCAATGTACTTCAGCAACTGTTTTTGAATTATCTTCAGCAAAATTTTACTTGTTATTGTTGTTAGGTGCCGTCGAGTCACTTCCGACTCATAGCAATCCCACGCACAGCAGAACGAAACACCACCGATCCCGCGCCAGCTCCATGATCTTTGCTATACTTGAGCTCACTGTTGCAGCCACCGTGTTAATCCATCTTATCGAAGGGCTTCCCCTCTTTTGTCGACCCTCTACCTTACCAAGCATGACATCCTTCTCCAGGGAATGGTCCCCTCTGACAACATTTTACTTGCATGTGTTAATTAATGATAACTGTTTGATAACATCTGCATTCTGTTGAATCATTCTTCTTTGGAATGGGCACAAATATGGATCTCTTTCATTTGTTTGGCCAGGTAGCTGTCTTCCAAATTTTTTGGCATAGATGAGTAAGTGCTACCAGTGTTGCACCCATTTGTTCCAACATCTCAACTGGTATTTCATCAGTTCCTGGAGCCTCATTTTTTGCCAAATCCCTTCAGTGCAGCTTGGACTTTTTTCCTTAACACCATCAGTTACTGATCATATGCTATCTTCTACAATGGTGAACGGAAGGAAGGTTGGGCAATCTACTGCCGTAGTGATACTGCCTTGGAAACCCAAGGAGGGGTCGCTATGAGTTGGGTCCGACTTGATGGCACATAACAACAACAACAACAACAACAACATGATGGTGAACATAAACCAATTCTTTTTGGTACAGTGACTCTGTGTATTCTTTCCATCTTTTGGCTTCCTGTGTCTGTCAATATTTTACCCACAGAATCCTTTAATACTGCAACTTAAGGCATGATTTTTTTCTGAAGTTTTTTCAGCTTGAGAAATGACAAACATATTCTTCTCTTCTGGTTTTCTTACTCCATGTCTCTGCACATTTCATTTTAATACTTTACTTTGTCTTCTTGAGCAGCCCTTTGAAATCTTCTGTTCAGCTCTTTTATCCTTTTGTCCATTCGCTTTAATTACTCTATGTTCAAGAGCAAGTTTTAGAGTCTCTTCTGACATCCATTTTGGTCTTTTCTTTCTTTCCTGCCTTTTAAATGACCTTTTCTTTTCTTCATGTATGATGTCCTTAATGTCATTCAACAATGATGATGATGTCTGGCCTTTAGTCATTAGTGTACCATGTGTCAAATCTATTCCTGAAATGGTCTCTTACTTCAGGTGAGTTATACACAAGGTCATACTTTGGCTCTCATTGATTGTTTTAATTTTTGTCAGCTTCAACTTGAACTTGCATGTGAATAACTGATGTTCCACTCTGTAGCTGGCCACTGGCCTCATTCTCACTGAGGATAATAAGCTCTTTCATCTCTTTTCACAGATATAGTCAATTTGATTTCTGTGTATTCTATCTGGTGCAGTCCATGTGTATAGTTGCCATTTATCTTATTGAAAAAAGGTATCTGCAATGAATAAATCAGTAGTGTTGCAAAAATTCTATCATGCAATCTCTGGCACTGTCATTTCTAACACCAAGGCCATAGTTTCCAACTACTGACCCTTTTTCATTTCCAACTTTCTCATTCTAATCTTCAGTAATTATGCATACATCTTGATTGCACGTTTGATCAATTTCAGACTGCAAAAGCTGGTAAAAATCTTCAATTTTTTCATCTTTGGCATTAGTGTATAAATTTGAATAATAAGTATATTAACTGATCTTTCTTGTAGGTGTATGAATATTATTAAACCAGTGAGAGCACTGTACTTCAGGATACATTCTGAATGTTCTGACCATGAATGCAATGCCATTCCTCTTCAGCTTATCATTTCCAGTGTAATACCCCATATGACTGTCCAATTCAAAATGGCCAATACTGGTCCATTTTAGCTCACGAATGCCTAGGATACTGATCTTTATGTATTCCATTTCATTTTTGATGACTTCTAATTCTTCTAGATTCCGACTTCGTACATCCTACATTCTGATTATTAATGCGTGTTTGCAGCAGTTTCTTCTCATTTTGATTCATGCTGTATGAATTAATGAAAGTCTTGAAAGCTTTACTCCATCCACATCATTAAGGATGGACTGGGCAATCTACTTCGTAGGGATACTGCCTTGGAAACCCAAGGAAGGGTTGCTGTAAGTTGGGTCTAACTTGACAGCACATGACAACTACTTTGAAGAGACAGTTCTTCCCCTGTCACATTTTGAGTGTCTTCCATTCTAAGGAGCTCATCTTTCGGCAATTTATCAGACACTGTTCCACTGTTATTCATTAGATTTTGTCATCATATATCTGCCTGGATAAAAAGACCTATTGACTTAGTACTGTTAAGAGAGGAAATCTAGTAAAATATAAACTCCAACCTGTTTTAATTGCCTGTAAGAAAGTAAACAGAGACAGTCATCTTTTTTATCTCTCAATGTGAAAACTGAAAATATTTATCTCCAAGAAAGATTAGATTTTCTACAAACAGTACCTGAGCACTAGCATCTAAGGTGGATTTAGACTGGAAAAAGGAAGGAAAGGTTATTCCTTCCTGGTATATGGCTACGTAGAGTGAAGTGCCCAAAATCTCAGCTCTTGGGAAAAGAGGCAGCACTAACTAGCCTCTGCCTCAGGTCTTACTGCTCAGCCAAGTCATGCATATAAAATGCTGAAGAAGGGAAAGAAGAGAGAGATTTGCCAAAAAAGTTTTTGATAGAAAGTAAAATTTTAAAAGTACAGCACTAGAATATAGGGAGAGCAGTGAAAATCTAGTATTTAAAAATGTTCAGTAACTTTTATTCCTGTATATAAATCTACTTGTAAATCTATCTTGCAGAAGTGAGTAGTGTTTTTGAGGGTCAACCTGGCACCCATATAGTTCTATGTTCTAGTGCCCACCCAATGCACTGGAAAGGCACTGGGATCTCCAAGCTTATACACTCTTATTTTATACTTCAGTGTAACAAGGCTATCTGATTTCCCAGCATCATGTAAGTTCTAGCTCAAATTGCATGTGTATGTGCATATGTATGCCCAGGGTAGTGCAGGGAATGAAAGGAAAAGAAAGCAAGGGGTAAGCCAACAAAATAACATGAAGGACATTCCAGAATGAAGTAGCTTTACTTCATTTTTCCATTCTGAGGCCTCCTTAGATGCTAGTGGTCAGGCATTGACTATGAAAAATCTGATCATCTCGAGAGATAAATATTTTTAGTTTTCCTATAATAAGATCAAAAATTACATACAGTAGAACAAACAAACAAACAACTATTTATTTTAAGAACAAATCGTCTTTCATGCCTCAGCAGATTCTGAGCCCATCCTTGTAACTTAGCACAGTATTTGGAAATCTTAAATTCTTCTAGGAAAAGGATAGAATACATTTGATAAAAATTTTCTTCCAAGCTATTAAATCTGAAAAACTGTCTAACAATAATGAATGTATATGAGCCCTGTGCTCCCAAAAAGCAAGCTGCAATGTGGAGAAATGGCTCACATATTCTGAGTTAAGATCTTTGCCTCTATAAGACTCCAGGCCACTCCTCTTTTGCATGTTTCTCATTAATGAAGTTCTCTCCCTATTGCACCAGCCTGAATAAAATCGCTGTCCAGTCCATTTGGCTTTCGTATCTATAATCCAGAATGACTCATTTCCCTACAATAACATGCATAATGCTTCAGTTTACAAAATGTTTCTGACTTACATAATGAGTCCAAAAGCACTGCTAGTTTGATGGATTCATCTTATAGATGAGAAACTTGAGCTTACAAGCTTAAGCCTAAGAGGAACCTAGGCCTAGCATCTTTCCCAGAGTAGGGCCAGAATTCAGGATTCTTGACCCTAAAGCAGTATTTACCTTATACCTGTCCACACCGCCTAGGCTAGAGCCCTAATGCTAAAGCTAAAGACCTCATTGTTAGGGTAATCCCTTCTCAGAAAGTCTCTTCAAAGGCCTGTATCAAGCTGTCCTTTCAGTTTCTCTAGACGTTCATATTAGCAACTATGGGACTAACGTTGTTTCAAACATATGTGAGACCACAGAGGCATGTTTTCAATTTTACTTGAGACCCTCCTTGGTCGTAAGTGATTCTTCCTCTAGGTTGATGAATTGTGATTAAAAACTTATACTACTACCCAGAAGTGACTGCTGTGTGGCCTGCAGGATTCTGTGGAGAATCTCAGTCCAGTATACATGACCAACGTCTCAGCTCTAAACTTTCTTGAGCTTATTTTGTACAACTTTTATTCTACTGACCTAGAAAATAAATGTCCTCAAATAGGGTCTCTTATATCACCCATTCCAACAGCCCACATGTGGAAATATCAATAGTATAGAGATTTATATAATATAAATAGTGTAAACATAACTTTTACATGCATTTAAGGTGGTTAAAATAATTTACATCTTTAAACTCGTTTATTACAAACAATTTACATCAGAGAAAAGCACATAAAATGCTCATTTATAAAGATAAAATAAGTTCCTAGATTTTTATATACATCTTTAAAATAACTCATACAGAAATTGCAGCTTAAAATGATAGCTGAGATGGTTTTAAATTGTAAATTTCAAATACGTAGCTTATTGCACCTCAATTATATCTCAATAAAGTTGTTAAAAAAGTGGATGTAGCCACAACATTGCTTACTGTGCTTTGCTTCACACGCTGGTGAGGACAGTTGAACAGGAAAGTGCCGAACAGTGATATCCGGGTGCTATCATACAGGACAGCCAAATACATTTCAGAAAACTCGAAAGCTGCTGGATATTGTTCTAATAGCTGCCATGTGGCATCCAAGAACAGTAAAAATAAAGGAGACTAGCAAATAAAAACATAAAGTGTGATTATTTAATATTGTCCTTCAGCTATTCACATTTATTTCCAAATTTATTGCCATTAAGAAGAGAATAAGAGAATAGAAAAAACATCTAAGCCTAAGTTGAGCAGGATACATGGACTGAGTAAACAGACCTGATGTCAAACATAAGAAGCACGTCCCACCGTGATACCTATCACAACTCTATTTCCCAGTAAGTATCCAGGCATACCTCATTTTATTATGTTTAGTTTTACTGCACTTTGCAGATACTGCATTTTTTTTTATTAGCAGCATGTGCTCACTTTCTATCTGTCATATTTTGGTAATTCTCACAATATTTCACACTTTTACATAATGCTGTTTGCACACTTAATAGACTACAATATAGTATAAAAGTAATTTTTACATGGACTGGAAAACCAAAATATTTGTGACTTGCTTTAGTATGATATTTACTTTATTATGGTTGTCTGCAATCAAATTCATAATACCTGAGATATGCCTGTAAAACTAAAGTGTCACAGTACACAGATGAGCATGGTGCTGGGGGATGGGGAAAAAATGTATTTATCTGCATCCCGGAAACAATTTTCTCAGAACATTAGAAAAAAAAATTGAAACCTTCTGTAATTAGCTTTGGTTAACCTTGTGGGCTCAACATCCAGAACACTTTCTTGAGCTTCAGAGAAATGTCTGGCATTAGCCTCCAGATCACATGTCTTGTATCTTGAAGAAAGGCACATGATATCAGCTGTTTTCATAACGAGGGCTTCTCACTGTCCTATGATATAAGTCTGGTCATTTTACAAGGAAAGGACGCACTGTTGAGACTGTCTCAGATAATATAATTCATTATTTAGTATGAGATAGCACAAATCAAATTGTACTCTCTGAAGCAACCTTGTAGAAACTGGCATTGTTTGAATGGTCTATGAGATAAACAATTACATATCCAAGGAAGCCACTAACGCACAGAGGTTAGAAAGGTATCCCTCTTAAGCTGTACCCAATGTGTCCTATTTTAAGAAAATGAGGTTTGAAAAATCAAAATAACGAATGTGCTAGTTACTTGCACTACAAAAGAGTTAATGCAGCATTTCTTCAGATATTTTTCAACTTAAAGGAAATTCAATAGACAACTTTTTGGGATTTCACTTTTATAGTTAGGATAATCTACATAAGTCCATCAATCTGAACTCTAATCCATTTAGTCAATCTTGGACTAAGAAAACTAAGCTGTTTACAACATGTAAAACGTCCCACATCTCTTTATAGAAGGCTCCTCTCATAAAGACATACAAATTATCTTGGGAACACTTGAAGACTGATAATAAGACATGAAGGCATTGTTACCTCTTTCTCTGATCTCTTTAAGTGGTTGCACCTGTCCAGGAACTGGTATCCTGCCATAACCCACTCTTTCTGTATCAGACTCTGAAATCCAGTAATTGTCCTAAAGTAGGGATCCAGCATCACTTGAATAAGAGAAGCTACAAAACAGCTCAGGTCTCTTCCCTCCTCCTCTGTCAATAAAATGGAAAGGAAATGATCATTAATAGAAAAATGATCACAGAGAAAGGGGATAGGTAAAGTAGGCAATTCACTATTCTATGCCCAGGCTTCCTTTAAAATCTGTGCAAGGAAATTTCATGGTATTCTGACAACTCTAAGATGATATAAAGAGTTTTAAATCAACTAAATTAGTAATCTCATTTAAATGGTAAATAGTCTTATGCATGAATGTTCTGTAGATTAATAGACACTCATGCCTCATACTCTTTTATGTTTCAATGGTTTGTGGCAGATATCTTTCTAAAAACCATTCTACTGCTATTTTATCAAGGATATTAAATATAATGTAATCTTTCTACTGATGACTCTAGATGGTGATGCCTAGGAGGTGAAAGAGGGTACACTCCACATGGTAACCCACTATCATCCTAAAATATGTGGCAAGCATTTCCCTCTCATCTTTTATAGCTTTATCAATTAGGCAAGTATTATCCTGATATCAATGCCAAACAAAGATAACAAAAGAAAACTAATGACCAATACCCCTTATGATTACAGATGCAAAAACCATCAACAATTATTAGCATACCAAATTATCCCAGGAATGCAAGGATGACTTACCATCTGAAAAGCAATTAAAGGAACACAATGTAAATAAAATAAAGGCCGAAAACAACATGATCATCTCATTAGATGCAGAAAAGGCATCTGAAAAAATCCAACATTCATTCTCAATAAAAATTCTCAGCAAATTAGGAATAGGTGGGGACTTCCTCAACCTGGTAAGAGGCATCTACTATAAACCTATAGCTAACATCATTCTTAATGGTGAAAGACTGAATGCTTTCTCCCTAAGATTAGAAATAATATGGATGTCTGCTCTTATCACTTCTATTCACATTATACTAGAGGTTGTTGTCAGTGTAGTAAAGCAAGAAAAATAAATAAAAGGCATTCGACTCATAGCAACCCCGCCTTGGGTTTCCGAAGCAGTATCACTACGGAAGTAGATTGCCCAACCTTCCTTCCGAGGAGTGGCTGGTTGGTTAACAGTCAAGTGTCTTGGGTACTACGCTACCAGAGCTCTTATTCAGATTGGAAAGGAGAAAGTAAAACTGTATTTGCAGTTTTAATATGACTCTGTATATAAAATGTTCTAAGGAATTCACAAAACTACTAAAATAAATGAGCCCACTGAAGTTGCAGGACAAAAATCAACTGTATTTCTACACACAATATTCTGAATACACAATACACAATCTGAAAATGAAATTAAGACATGAATTACATTTTTAATAGCATTAGAAAATTAAAATATTAAGTAGGTTTAACAAAGTAAGTATAAGACTTGTATACTATAAAATATTGCTGTAAAATTAAGGACGATTTAAGTAAATGAAGACACATCCATGTTCACAGATTGGCAGATTCAATACTGTTAAGATGTAATTCTCCTGAAAGTGATCTAAGGGTTCAAAGCATCTCTACAAAATTGTAGTAGGTTTCTTTTTTTGCTGATCCCAAAAGTTATATAGAAACACAAAGGACCTGGAACAGCTAAAATGATTGCAAATACAAACAAAGCTAGTGTACTTAGATGTCTCAATTTCAAAAGTTATGATAAGGCTAAGACAGTGAAGTAACGGCATAAGGACAGACATAAAAACTAATGGGATAAAACTGAGAGTCCAGCAAAAAAAAGCCTTATAGTTTCAGTCAATTGATTTTTGACACAAATGTCAAGGCAATTCAACACAAAAAAGATAGTCTTTTCAGTAAACAGTGCTGGCACAATTCAATTTCCACATGAAAGAAGATGAATTTAAGATTATTACCTAACAATATACACAAAAGTTCATTAAAATGAGCAAGAGCTAAAACTATAGAACTTGTATAGAATAAAACAGGAGAGAGTCATTATGACTTGAATTAAACATACAGTTCTCAGGTATAACACCAAAAACATGACCCATTTTTCAAAAAAGAATAGATTGGACTTCATCAAAATTTTCAGACATTCACACTTCAAAAGACAGCATTAAGAAAATGAAAACACAAGCCCAGACTGACTTTCTGCCAATCCTGCATATGATAAACAATTTTTATCCAGAATATATAAAGAATTCTTAGAACTCAATAATAAGACAAACAACCCAAATGAAGAATGAGCATAAAATTTAAATAGATATTTTGCAAAAAAAAAAAAAAAAGAGTAGCCAATAAACACACAAAATCATAAGAAGATACCACATCACAACCAACAAAATGACTATAATCATCGAGATAGACAACAGCAGCATTGGTTAAGAGTATGGAGAAACTGGAGTCCTCACACATTACTGGTGGGGGAGTAAAATGATATAGCCACTTGAGAAGTGGCTAACCTGATAGAATAACAAGAGAGTATGATGAATAATTATATGCCAGCAAACTGGATAACTAGATGAAATGGACAAATTCTTAGAAGCACACAATCTACCTAAACTGACTAGAGAGGAAACGATAAACCTCAACTGACCTATAACAAGTGAGGAGACTAAATCAGTAATCAAAAACCTATTGGGGGGGGGGAATTGCTACACCAGATGGCTTCACAAGAGAATTCTACCAAACAGTTAAGCTGATTAGTAAACAATGTTTGCCTTGAATATTAAATTGGGTATTAAAAATTTTTATAGCAGGTATAATTAATTATGTTAATATAATTTCTAAGCTTACAAAGTTTATTGATAGACTAGAAGCTACCTGATTATATAATATATTCACATTGTACATGAATATACTATGCTACTTAAGCATAAGGATCAAATTGACCACAGCAATTTGAAAAGTTACATAGGAAGTTTAGGGGCCATGTGTTGGTTTGATGGGGCAGAAATAATTCAGAAAAGGCGGGTGAGAATGGTTGCATAATTTGAAGAACATAATTAAGTCAACGAATTGTACATGTAGAAACTGTTTAACTGGTGTATGTTTTGCTGTGTGTATTTTCAACAAGAAAAAAAGTAAAAAAAAAAAAAAAGGTATACAGATTAGTGGTTGTCTGACTGTGGGACACAAGAAATATTTTTAAAACATCTACTGCCTTTGAGTTGATTCTGACTCATAGTGACCCTACAGGATTGAGCAGAACTTCCTATAGGGTCTCCAAGGCTGTAAATCTTTACAGAAGCAGATTGCCTCATCTTTCTCCTATGGAGCAGCCGGTGAGTTTGAACTATAGACCTTTCAGTTACCAGCTGAGTAGAATGCTCTGTCCATTGCACCACCAGAGGTCTTCAGAGTATTGGGGGGGGGGGGAGATGATGAAAATTACCTAAAGCTGGACTCTGTGCACTTAATAAAAAAACACTGAATTGTACTCTCAAATTAAGTGGAATTTGTATTTTATAAATTATATCTTAATAACCTTTTTTTTTTTTTTAAAAAAAAAACACCCCAAACAAATCATTAGTAAAATGAAGGCTCAGTAACCCTACTGAGGCCTTTTCTATTACAAATGAATGAAAAAATCCAAGTTAAGCAGAACTTTCTAGAGGAGAACAGACACTGGTTGAGAGGGGATAGAACCTCATTTCTGGGCTCTGCATGCACTTGTGAATTAAACACACATGTGTACACACATGTGCATGCTCCAACTGCATCAGGTACATATTACTTTCCATAGTGCATTTTTATTCTTTTTACTTTTTTTTTTTTTTCCTAAACAAACAAACAATAAAAAACAAATGTGCTGCCATCGAGTGGGATCTGACACATAGGGTACCCTCCTGGGGTTTCCAAAGTGGTATCACTACGGAAGTAGATTGCCCAACCTACATTCTGAGGAGTGGCTGGTGGGTTTGAACCACCAGCCTTCTGATTAGCAGTCAAACGCCTTAAGCACTATGCCACCAGAGCTCCCTTTTTTCAATTAAATCTGACAGTTGATAAATAGACTTCTGTAAAATAGAGCTTAAGTAGCACAGTGTATTCGTGTACAATGTGAATATACTATATAATCAGGTAGCTTCTAGTCTATTAATAAACTTTGTAAGCTTAGAAATTATATTAATATAATGAATTATACCAGCTATAAAATTTTTTTAATATCCAATTATCCTTTGCTTAACTGGATGATTTTTACATTGCAGTTTATTCCTAACAAATACTAGACAAAATTCACATTAATGGCTATTCAGTCCAATTAATTTCTTGATATCAAACTGTTTAAGAATCACAATCTAGCAGTAACCAAAAGGTATGTAAGTTAAAATACACTTGTATGAATTAGAGAGATAGCAAGATTAGAGATAAAGGATGCTCTTCCAAAATTAACACTTACTATTAATCCAACAAGGGATAGGAATGTTCTTATCATGAAACAGGAAGAGAGAGTTAACAAAACGCAGAAAATTACATTTCTTTTTATTCTTTTAATTGCAATCTTAGTGTCACTGTCTTAATCTATTAATTTAGAAAATTTGTAGTATACCTGATATTGATGAATTACCATGTTCAGTATTACTGAATTACCAATTTAAGTATTACTGGATTCAAACCAATAAGAAATAGGTAAGATTAATGTAATTTTCATTAAGTGTGGATAATCAATCACCAAGGTTGGCTGGTATGGTAATCACGGTGTTTTCAGTAATTAATTACCTTGTAAGATTACAGAGAGATGTTTGCTTTCAAGTATGTATACAAGTTCTGCTGAATGTTTAAGGAATGTCCTGAGGAAAGAAAAAGAGAATACTGTTTTTAAAAAAAAATCTAATTTCCACTACAAATATTTTAAGTACTTGATATCAAGCAAATCTAATCTTTCTCTCTATATATTTGTATTCTCAGTAATTCTCATGAACATCTTCAGTATTTGTATGATTCTTCAACAAAGTATATTTTGTGATTTTTATATCAGGGAAATTCCTTAATCTTTCCTAGATAGAAATGAGTTGATTTATATAACCTCCTTGAAATGACAAAATTACTGAAATAGAGAAGTGATTACTATTTGCAAGGAGTTAGAGATGTGTGTAAGGTGGTGCAACTATAAAGGGGCAGCAGGAGGAAGGCTTATTGTGGTGAAGGAGTTCTGTGTCTTGACTATGAGAGTGATTACATAAATCTATACATGTGGTATTAACGATATTGTTTGGTAATTTCCACATTCTGTGGGATCACTGTTGTTTGGAATGGGTACAAATATGGACGCCTTCTAGTCAGCTGGCCAGGTAGCTGATTCCAAATTTCTTGGCATAGAAGAGTAAGTACCTCCAGCATGGCATCCATTTGTTGAAACATCTCAATGGGTATTCCATCAATTCCTAGAGTCTTGTTTTTCGCCAATTCCTTTGGTGCAGCTTCGACTTCTTTGATACCATCGATTCTTGATCATATGCAACCTCCTGAAATGGATGAATATTGACCAATTCTTTTTGGTACAGTGGCTCTGGGTATTCCTTCCATCTTCTTTTGATGTTTCCTGCATCATTCAATACTTTGCCCATAAAACCTTTCAATACTGCAGCTCGAGGGTTGAATTTTTTCTTGTTTTTTCAGCTTGAGAATGTTGAGCATGTTCTTCCCTTTTGGTATTGTAACTCCAGGTCTTCGCACATTTCATTATAATAACCGATTCTCTCTTCTCAACCTGCTCTTTGAAATCTTCTGTTCAGCTCTTTTATCTTGCATTTCTTTCATTTGCTTTAGCTACTTTCTGTTCAAGAGCAAGTTTCAAAGTCTTTTCTAACATCCATTTTGGTCTTTTCTTCCTTTCCTGTCTTTTTAATGATCTTTTGCTTTCTTCATGGATGATGTTCTTGATGTCATCCCATAATTCATCTGGCTTTTGATCACTGGTATTCAACGCATCAAATCTATTTTTTAGACGGCCTCTAAATTCAGTGTGATATAACAAAGGTCTTATTTTGGCTTTTGTGGACTTGTTTTAATTGTCTTCAGCTTCAACTTGAACTTGCTTATAAGCAGTTGATGGTCTGTTTCACAGTTGTCATCTGGCCCTGTTTTGGCTGAAGATACTGAGCTGCTACATTGCCTCTTTCCACAGATGTAGTCTACCTGATTACTGTGTATTCCATCTGGTGAAGTCCATGGGTATAACCGCCATTTATGTTATTGAAGAAAGGTATATGCAATGAGTAAATTGTTGGTCTTGCAAAATTGTATCATGCAATCTCTGGTGTCATTTCTATCACCAAGGCCGTATTTTCCAACTACTGGTAATTCTGTTTCCAACTTTTGCGTTCTAATAATCAGTAATAATCAACACATCCTGATCACATGTTTCATCAATTTCAGGCTGCAGAAGTTGGTAAAAACCTTCAATTTCATCTTTGGCTTTGGTGGTTGGTATGTGTATTCTGAGTAACAGTCATCTTTGCTGATCTTCCTTGTAGGCATATGAATATTATCCTATCTCTGACAGCACTGTACTTCAGGATAGATCTTGACACATTCTTTGTGACAATTTTTTGTGAGCTTTCTCCTAGTGCAAATAACTCCCTTCTGATCTACCATGGTTAATTGTTCCAAGGAATACATTTCCCTGGTGTAATTGTTCAGCTCTTACTCCTACCTATTGCTTGGCTGAGAGTTAAGCCATGGCAGTGAGTCCAGGCCCAAATGTGACTAGGGGCCATAGTCTCAGAGGTTTCACCAGTCTCTATCTGACCAGTAATCCTGGTCTTTTAAATATGTTTTTGACTTTTGTTCCACAATTTTTTCCCACTCTATATAGGATCTCCAATTTTGATCCCTTCCCAAGTAGCTGGCACTGGTAGCAGGGCCGTGTCTAATTCTTCTGGTCTCAGAGTTGTGTAGGCTGAAGTTCCTGTGGTTCATTAGTCCCTTGGACTAATAGTTTCCCTGTGTCTTTGATTTCTTTCACTCTTTTTTGCTCCAGAAAAGGAGAGACCAAGAGTTGCATCTTAGATTGCAGCTCACAAGCTATTAATACCCCAGTTGCTACTCACCAAAGCAGGATGTAGAACAATGTTTTTGTGTACTATATTATGCCAATTAAGGAGCTCGGTTGTGCTGTGCCTAAGTCATTTAGAAGGTCAGTAGTTCAAACCCACCAGCCATATTGACAGGGAACTTCCAGAAATGCAAGCTGGATTCAGAATAGGACGTGGAAAGAGGGATATCATTATTGATGTCAGATAGATCTTGGCTAAAAGCAAATAATACGAGAAAGATGTTTACCTGTGTTTTATTGACTATGCAAAAGCACTGGATTTTGTGGATCATAAAAAATTATGGATAACATTGAGAAGAATGGGAATTCCAGAACACTTAAATGTGCTCATGCAGAACCTATACATAGACCAGGAGTCTGTTGTTTGAACAGAACAACGGGATACTGTGTGGTTTAAAATCAGGGAGTGTATCAGGGTTGTATCCTTTCACCATACTTATTCAATCTGTATGCTGAGCAAATAATCTGAGAAGCTGGACTATATGAAGAACGCAGTATCAGGATTGGAGGAAAAGTCCTTAACAACCTATGACATGCAGACAACATAACCTTGCTTGTGGAAAGTGAAGATTACTTCAAGCACTTACTGATGAATATTAAAGACTACAATCTTCAGCATGGATTACACATGAACATAAAGAAAATCCTCACAACTGGACTACTAAGCAGCATCACAATAAATGGAGAAAAGATTGAAGTTGTCAAAGATTTCAGATTACTTGGTTCCACAATCAACACCAATGGAAGCAGCAGTCAACCAATCAGACAACATGTTGAATTGGCAAATCTGCTGCACATGATCTCTTTAAAGTGGTAAAGAGCAAAGACATTTCTTTGAAGAGCAAGGCACACCTAACCCAAGCCATGGTGTTTCCAATCACCTCATATGCATGTGAAAGCTGGACAACGAACAGGGAAGACTGAAGAAGAGTTGATGCTTTTGACTTGTGGTATTGGCGAAGAATACTGAAAGTACCATGGAGTGCCAGAAGAACTAACAAATCTGCCCTGGAAGAATTGCAGCCGGAATGCTCCTTGGAAGTGAGAATAGCCAGACTTTGTCTCACCTACTTTGGTCATATTGTCAGAAGGAACCATTCCCTGAAGAAGGATATCATGCTTTGTAAAGTGGAGGGTCAGGGAAAAGGGGGAAGGCCCTCAACAAGATGGATTGATACGGTGGCTGCAACAATGGGCTCAGGTATGGCAAGGATTATGAGGCTGGTGCAGGATCAGGCAGTGTTGCACTCAGTTATACATAGGGCTGCTATGAACTGGCGTAGACTCAATGGCATCTAACAACAAGAACAATACATGTGATAATACTGCACAGAACAATATACATAAACACATACACAAAGGAGAACATGTATAAAATTGAGGACATCTGAATAAGGTCTGTGGAGTGTCCCAATGTCAATTTCATAGTTGTGATATTATACTCTAGTTATGTAAGATGATGCTACCACTGGGGGAAGATGAGTGAAAGGTACTTGGGAACTTTGTGTACTATTTTTCCAACTGCCTGTGAGTCTATGATTCAAAACAAAAAGTTAAAGAAAAAGGAAAGAGGTTGTACCAACCTTACATATTCTAACCACCGAGTACTTTCCAGCAAAGATAACCATTTCTCTTCAGTTTCTTCAAAAGGTTCTGTAATAAATATGATAAACACACACACACGAGCTTTAAACATTTTAAATTTAGTATTAAATGATCTATATCACAGTTAAAGAAACACATCATAGATTTTAATATTTAAAAGTTAGCTTTGAGGTAGTATCACCCATTTTCACATCAATAATAGCAAATATTTAAGAAGACATGTTATAATTTTATGAAAAAGCAAAATAAAGCATTGCTTTGGGCCTCTATCATCTTCTCTTCTGGCTCTCTTAGGGAAATTTCAGATAGTCTTAACAACTTGACCTCTTAAGAGTTAGTAGACTCCTGGCGTGGTCATCCCTATCAGGACCTGCCCCGATTCTGGCCCTCCTTTATCTGTGCGTAAACACTGCTAAATACCCCTAATAGGCTTCCTTTCTGTAAGCCTTGCCCTGTTCCTGTTTCTCTTCCCCCCAGTCAGCTGAAGAGCAGCCTTCTGTAAGCATGGGTGATGGGGCACCATGGCTGACCCTACAGGACTGAGACTATGTCTGTCTGGCATGGCCTGTACTGCAAGGCACAGTTATGCCTTGACCCACTTCAAGTTGCATCTCACCTTACAAACCCCAAGCTTCAGTTATATTCAACATACTGGGCCTGTGACAATCATTCATGTCATAGTGTTCTTTTAATCTTCCCTCCCCTTTTCTGTTTCCAGAGCTCTTCTTTCAAGCAAACCACCACTCCTCATTCAAGACTGCCTTTCCTGACCCCCAGGTGATCCAAGGATCTCTCCAAGCACAACTCCAGTAGAATACACTTTACACTAAATATGCTTCTGTGTGGTCCAACCCTCCAGGGCACATCAAAGGCATCTGTTAAGAGTTTGCTCAAACAGATGTATTAAAACTATAAGACCACAAAAATTACACAACACTGCTCTATTTGATATCCATCTCAAATGACATTTCTCAAAATATACCTGTATACACTAAAATCTTAAATTTGCCTATAAGGTAGTATGTTGTTCTATTTAGCAAATGATTTTAGAGAAGTATTCCCATTATAGCTTTCCTGATTTGAGGGTGTTTTAATTGTATCATTCTCCCTTATCCATCCAAAATGCAGTTTAAACTTTATTTCCTGAGAGGCTTTTATATTTTCACACAATAAAATATAATTTATACAAATACTTCAATGAGCCTCTCCCTAACTATTTCTATGCTTTTGAGGTACATCATCTTTCCCGACATGTCTCATATCCCCTGTTCATATATGTGTGCTTATATATAGATATGTATATATATAAAAAAAAATAACGAGATTACCATTAACACATAGTTGCTTAAGTTTTACAAATGCCGCCTGTACTTCCTGGATATTAGGCAAGGTTTTATCCAAATCCGATTTGTAAACATCGCTTCTCTGTGGATGACTTTTAGTTATCGCATTACAAATCCTAATAAAGATAAAATTCCTATAGTCACCATTCATTTATTCAACATCTACTTGTTGAGTACCTACTATGTACCAGGCTCTATTCTAAAAGCTGAGATAGAGTGATGCCTACATTCCTGCTGCTGGTAGTGGGGGGAGGGTAATTAATAACAAGAAAATAATGGTCAATATGTGGTGAATGCTATGGGTGATATAATCTAATGACTACCAGACTGTTTTAGGTCAAGTGGCCAGAAAAGGCTCTCCTGAGAATATTGAAGCTAAAACCCAAATGATTAGGAGACATGCAAAGAACAGGGAGAAAGGTGGTCCAGGCACTGGGACAGCTAATGTAAAGGGCCTCTGGTAGAAAAGTTGTTTGACTATCTGAGAAAATTGTTGTTGTTGTTATGTGCCGTCGAGTCAGACCTGACTCATATAGCAACCCCTCCTTGGGTTTCTGAGGCAGTATCATGATGGAAGTAGATTGCCCAACCTTCCTTCTGAGGAATGGCTGGTGGGTTTGACACTATGCTACCAGAGCTCACTTCTGAGAAAATTAAAGGTGGCCAATGGGCCTAGATGACATGTAAGGGAGAAAAAGGGGTTGGAGATGAGGCTGGACAACAAAGAGAATCCTAACTGTGAAGAACAGGGTAAATGAGAAAACAAGAGACATTAAAATAAATGTAACTTAATTAACTAATTAAAACTGCCAATTATGATAAAATTTTGTAAGTAAATCTTATCCACCAGTGTGGCAATCTTCCCTTTGACAGCAAAATTCCCCTGTGAGCACTTAATCAGCCCATATGTTAATGAAAACAAGGCTCAGAGTATGACCTAACAGTTAATTTCTAATGTGATTAAGATAAATTCAAAATCCACCAGAGAACAGGGATATGTGCTAACTATAATCATCCTTCTTTTCAAAAACTTGATGGTCATTAAAAGGTCATTTGGCTTTCTTAGTTACAGCACTGTGGGGAAAAAAACCTAAGATGTGGCTGTACCAATAACTAACTATGATATATCTCAATCTCTTAGGCTATTTCTAAGATCTTCTCATCTGGTTCCTCATTATGCAACAAATATTCAATATTATAAGCACTTGGGGCTGAATATACAGTGGTGTGCAAACAGATACAGTCTCTCAATTCATGGAATTATAGCCTAGTAAGAAAGTCAGACATCATTTAAATTGTAGCATGCACACTTAACTAAACCTGAAAAGAGTTCTATGAAGAAAAATCGAAGTGCTATAATGGATAACTGTGAGGCCTGATCTAATATGGGAAGGAGGCTTACCATAAGGAAGTGATGTTTGAGTTGAGACATAAAGAATGAGTGGCAAATGGATGGGGAAAGGGGGGTCATGGATGAAAATGAAGAAGGAAACGCAGAAGGGAACAGCACAGGCAGACATCAGCAGTTGAAAGAGAACAGGAAAATGCTGAATAGCTGAAGCCCAGGAGATGGGGATAGGGCACCAGATGAGACATGGAAGAAAGAAATGGTGGCTTATTGGTAGAAATGGAGCTAGGACAGAAGCACAATGGGTTGTCAGATTTCTAAAAAGTGAGGTGACAGAATGCAGGGCTGGATTGGATATAGGAAATTGAAAGAGAAAGGCATCAAGACTGGCCCCTAGGTGTCTGAGAACACCAAAGCAAGAGGAGGGAGGAAGAACAGGCTGAGACAGGGCATAGAAGCTACATTTGGACATAATGACTTTAAATGGCCTTTGAGACCTCCATGTGGATGCTGTCAAATTAGATTTGAGTATAAACTTGATGGTCAGTAGCAAGCAGATGGCACTAAAGCCACAGCCAGGGTGAACTTACTTATGGAGGGCAGAGTGCCAGCAAAGAAGGTGCAGAAGCCAAGGGCCCAGAGGTCTTTAAGATAATGGTTGTTGCTATGAGAAAGATCAAGAAATGCCGACTACCTTCAAAGACATGGAGAATTCTGGTAACCATGGCAGATGATGGCAAACCTGTTTGTGATAACTAACTAAAACCAACATTTGAGCTACTGTGACTTCTTACACTAAGTAAGACACACTGAACTACAAGAAAAGTTTGGTTTACTCTGAAATCTCTCAGCTAGAAATCACCACACTGTGAAAGTACATTAACAGCAAGTGATGTCTGTTATGGCAAGATGTCAGCACTATAAGACTCTTAAGTTTCTTATAACTTAAGTATCAATTATTTTAATATACTAAAAATTCTTTTCAACATAGCAATTCTTATACAGAATATATGATGCTATAACTAATTAACAAAACTACATTATTGCCGATTATTTTCAATTAATAGGAAGTTTTCAAAGCTGTGGCCTTTCGGAAGCAGACTGCCAAGCTTTTCTTCCGAGGTACCTCTGGTTGGATCTGAACAGCCAACTTTTCAGTTAGTAGTTAAGTGCTTAACTGTTTGCACTGCCCAGGGACTCCCAGGGAGTTTACTATATTGAACTTATTTATCACAAATTTCTAAAGTAACAGTGATCACTTCTGATTACCTTTGATCAATTTTTCTCTGTTGTAATACATCTTTTATGAGAGCCATTCTGACAACAGCACTACCATTGTTGTGACTCCAGCACCACAACTAGGAGAGAAGCACAGTATGACTTAACTGGTTGGTTATAAATTGCTTATTCATTAAATCCACCAGAAATCACTTACCGGCATCCTTCTTCCAACAAAAGAATGGGAAAAGATCTTTAGATCTTGGTCTGCCAAGGAACTTGGCACTACAAAGTATTCTGGAAGGCTGGAGGGGGAAAAAAAACAAACAGATTTCTTAACAAAAGAGTCCTATGCTTCAGGAAGTATAAGTGTGCTCTGTAGACCCACATATAATTAAACACATTTATCCCTATTTAACATTCACTTCACTTAGTATCCTAGAAACCTCAGTCTAAAACTCATCAGTGTGGTCAATTCTCACAAAATTTAAATTTGTCACAGGAGAAAAACCCAAATGACATATCTAAAATACATTCCAGAATAGCTGCTAGTCAAGCATGTATGAAGTTTCTGCAAAACCTTAACTACCTTTGTTTTCTTGACAGGCTATAGGTCAAGAGATGCCAGGCAAAAGAAACAAAGTAAAACAACATCCCCACAAATCCACTGAGCACTTAACTCCCTTCAAATTATTTTCCTCTTCTACACTTCCCTATCATCAAAGGAGCAACCAGACGAACTCTAGGACACCAGACTATAATTCTTAGTGGGCAGACTCATTGCACCTTAGAATACCCTCCCCTTCCCTTCTTCCATTCCGTGTGGCTAGGCAGGTTCAGAGCCAGGGCTAGCCAGGCCCTGTCAGAGGCTTCTCAGCACACACACAGAAGCATGCTGGTCACAATACTTAAATTCAAGGAGAAACAGAAAACTCAAGTTATGTGCTTCAAAGCACCTTCCCCAAAACTCTATTAGAAGTCTTTGGGACTATATCAACCAGCAATCATAGGAAAATGTTTCCCTAAAAAGGTGCTTTTCTGAAAAACTATTGAGGACTTTCATGATTTTAAAATAAAATTTTCCAAAGAATTAATGATTACAAAATGGCATTAAACAAATTAAAAAACAAAAACCAAACATTTCCTGGTCACTTTTGGAGGAGTCTAGTGAGCCAGCTCATTATTCTAAAAAATGGTAAGTGAAGGAACAGAAGTAAACATGTATACTGCTTTTCCATATGAACTGTATTTCAGGATACCATAGGGTTGACAAGAGAAAACTTTCGACAAAGTAGAAAGAATGAATAGAATTAGAATATAATCAATAGCAAACCTTAATGAAACAATAGATATGGGCAATGATTCTCCTTAATGAAAACAATTTTTGACAGCTAAAACCATTACGGCTAATCCTCATTATTTGTGGATTCTGTATCTGCAAATATGCCTACTTGCTAAAATTTACTTGTAACCCTAAGCAATACTGGCAACACTTTTGCAGTCAACTGCAGACATGCACAAAGTAGCAGATTAGTCACCCATTGCACACATTTCCAGCTGAGGTCAAACCAGGTAACATTTTGTCTTATTTTAGCCCTTTATGTGGTCTATTTGGTGCCATTCCCACCCCCTCATACACACACGCATTTTTGTTGGTAATTTTGCTATTTTAAATGGTCCTCAAGCATAAGTTGAAGTATTATGTAGTGTACCTAAGTGCAAGAAGGTGGTGATGTATCTTAAAGAGAAAATATGTATGGCAGGTAGCTCTGTCCAGGCATGAGTTATAGTGCTATTGCTTGGAGTTCAAAGTTAATGAAACAACAATATATATTAAATAAGTGTCTATAAACAAATACACATCAAACAGTTATGTATTGATTGGTAAATAAAAACGTGACCAGAGGCTCATAGGAAGCTTACGCTGTATTTCTCCTAGGAGCAATGGCTCAGTATTTGCTAATTCATTGTTCCCGGAGACTGTACAGAACAGAACTACCACAAATAACAAGGATTATCTGTATATGAAAGGGGAACTTTGTGCTGGATGGATCAGGCTAAAAGCTACTGGTCAATCAGCATCACAGAGAGTCATCCGGGGGAGATCCTGATGTGGTATAGCAGGACATTCATCCATGAAGTATTCTAACCCAAAACACTGAGCCTGAATCTCACTAAGCCTTTATATTTAACTAACATTTTACAAGAAATAAAGGAGATGGAAGAACATGTTAAAGGATACCAGAGACAAAACAGGCAATATCTAAAATGTGGAAAATTTATAGAACAAATATCCTGGTTTTTGTCAACAAACAAATGTTAGTTCAAAAGACAGGTGGAGGGAGACAGTTACAGATTAAAAGGCTTAAGGGACATAATGAAGTATATTCAACATGAGGACTCTGTTTGGACTCTGATCTGAACAAACTGTAAAAGATATTTATGGGTCATAAATTCAAAATTAACATCAACTATGCCTAAGGCACTTGACTGCTCATCAGAAGGTTGGCGGTTCAAACCCACCAGCCACTCCTTGGAAGGAAGGTTGGGCAATCCTACTTCCGTAGTGATACTGCCTCGGAAACCCAAGGAGGGGTCGCTATGAGTTGGGGCCGACTCGACGGCAAACAACAACAACAGATTATAGGTGAAAGTAAGGAATTACTATCAATATTTTTCAATGAATACTGATATATTTTTGTGATATTTAAAATAAAATATGAATTAGAACACTACTTTGATTAAAAGCAAACATTCTGTTAATCATAACCAGTTATCAATGACAGAAGTTTATTATCATAGAGAAATACTGCTAAATAATATTGCTAAAAGTGGACTCACCAAGTAGATATCATGTAACCCTCATTAATGGAACAAACTCTCCATCCAAAAGCACCTGTCCTCTTGATTTCTCTGTCCCAATCTGAGTAGGTTTCAAACAGAGGAGTTTTTTGGCTGCTGCCACCACCAGCTCCACCTCCTGGGGGTATTCCATTTATACTGCTGGCTATAGGAAAAAACAAGGTTATTAATATTAACAGTCACATTTGCATCCAACATTCCCTGTCCCACACATACTCTTGGTACTTCTTCCCCACTTTGTCCTCTGAGTCTCTCCAAGAATCTTAACTTATCCAGCAAGCCTGCAAAAATGTAATAACCCTTCTCCCCACAAATAACTCATTTAGTCTTTGTCTAGCTTTTTCCCAACTCCTTATACACCTACGCTTTTTCTGTCCTTCTATCTTCTGTGTCTTCAAACATCATCAGGTCAACTCAATTTTAAAGACTTGCATTTGACCATGTTAGACCACTCTATCTACTATATATTTTCCTTCCTTCTCCCTACTGTCCATCGTCCCAAATTATGAGGAATGCCTACTGCTCTGTTTCTTCTTCATTTATTTGCTCCTTAACTTTCATCTATCTTACATCACTGCTGTTCTATGGAAACCATTCCTGACCCTCTCTCATTCTACCACCCCAAAATGGGTTGCAAGCCCTAATAATCTGTTAATTTTCTCCACACTTTTTGTCTAGAAAAATGAATGTATCATCTGTGTTCTCAATATGTCAAGTCCCCAAAATCTTTCATTTTCCTAACACTATCTTTTTGACTTTTTTTTCCATCAGTTCATTATAAAATTCCTGTATCTATTCAATTTTCCTCTGAAAAGGTCACAAATGTTCCTTGTTCTCTACTATAGTGCTGGTCCCATATAAAGATTTTAGGAGGGAGGGCGCAGACTTAAATATCCTTAGCAAAGAGCCTTCTCTAAACAGAAGAGTGCTACTATCTTCTGCTACCACCCCCACCGCTTTGGGAGACTTACAGATGCCCCAATAAGTCAAACAAATCTCCACTGACAAACGGCACAACCCCTCTGGCCCAGTGTCTTAGTGCTACATGCTGCAATGGCGGCATGGCTTCTAGCTGACATGCCAACAAGATGTTCTGTTGCACTCAAACCAGGCTGCATCTTGACATGCTTCCCTAAAAAGATGCTCTTCATGTTATTCCTTTGCCTTAAATCATGCTTATTTTCCAACTGAATCAAGCAAGCCTAAATGGTCCCCCTGGCCTTATCGATCCCCCTCACATAACTGACCTGACCTTTATTTCTCATTCTTCCCCAACTCCCATTCTCCCATAGCCACACAAAGCCCTTTACACTGTCCCATGAATGTGCTGTGTCCATTCCTATAAACCATTCTTGGTGAAGACAGTGTTTTTGGAGAAGCTACATGTGCTAAGGGCTGAGAACAGAGAGATAAATAAGATATGACCTATTTCTTTAATACACTTACAAGACAGCAGGGAGGAAGTTCAGTAATCATCAGAGTGCATGTGCAGAAACAAGGCTGGATGTATGAGGGCAGTTAGAGCACAGAAGAGACTCCTAACTCACTAAAGAGGAATGCTGGGGCAGGAAAGGCCTCATGACTTGACCACATCTGAACAGAGTCCTAAGAGGTAAGTTAAAATTTGCCAGATGGCTGGTGAGGTGGGAGGAATGATCGGCAAAGAAGAACAATAAAAACATGATACAATTATAGAGCATCAAGTAGTGAACTAGCTAGCTAGTTCATTACGAATCATGGGATGGTGGATCAGATGGTGAAAAGTTAGATGGGGCCTGGACTCTCAATCTGTACTTCCCAACAGAGCAGCCACTAGCCACATGAGTCTGTTTAAATTTAAATGGAAATGCATTAAAATTAAAAACTCAGTTCCCCAGCTGCTTTAGCCACATCTCAAGTGCTGAATAGCCGTATGTGGCCACTGGCCTCCATACAGGACAGAACATATAGAACATTTCTGTCACTACAGAAAGTTCTATTAGACAGTGCTGCTTTAGATTAGGAAATGTCTGATATGTCCTGCAGAGAATTCTGAATTTTATCCTTCAAGTGGCATCAGAATCAACCAGTGATTCGATTTTAACAGAGCTAGCTAACAAAATGCTAATTCTAGGCATACATCCCAGCCCCACTCCACCCACTTCAGACTCTTCTCAGGAGTAACCTAACAATGGGAAAGTGCGTTAAGGAGAGTAGGGGTTAGGATCTCTTTTGAAAAGCAAAACCTTCGTGGGATTTCTAGGCAATTTTCACTTTACAGACAGAGTTCTAAAACACTAACAAACAAAACACAGAATGCCACTCAATATTAGCAAATCTAAATAACTCATCAATGATCAAATTAAAGGGGGAAAACCTATGATCAGCTCAGCAAATGCAGAAAAACATTTGATGTAATTCAGTACCTGTTTATGATTTAAAACAAACAAACAACAACAAGAAACAACTCTTCAGCAAATTAGGAATAGAAGAGAATTTCTCTAACTTGATAAAAGATATCAGAAACACAAAGCAAACAGCATCTTCATTAACATCAGGAACAGAAACCACGTCTGCTATTATTACTACTACTCAATATTGTACCAGAGGTCCTAGCCACACTTTAAGACAACAATCACTGTAAAATATAAATAACAAACTCAGTATTCTTAAAGAGCTATGTAAATAGTTAGGAGCCCTGGTGGCACAGTGGTTAAGTCACTTGGCTGCTAAACAAAACATACCAGCCACTCTAGGGAAGAAAGATGTGGCAGTCTTCTTCTGTAAAGACCGGAAACTGTATGGGGCAGTTCTACTCTGTCATACAGGGTTGCTTTGAGTCAGAATCAACGCAACAGAAGTGGGTCTGTAAGTAGTTTATCAAGATACCCTATCTGAGAGTTTAGAATTAAGTGCATTTTAGTATTTTGAGTTACAGACTTTAATAACATACTACCATTTATAAGATTGCTCCTTTGACAAAATTTAGTTTCCAGACCTAACTAAGAAAAGACAATTTTTTTCTGACATAAAGTAGGAACGCCCATAGGATCTTGTATTGTTTGCCATTCTATAGGTTTCTCTGTATACTTCTCAACAACTAGGTTAGGTCTTTTATAAGTTCTGTATCTTCCTCAGATTATAACCAGCTGCTGATCTAAATGCTGGCAGTTCAAACACACCTAACTGCCCTATGGGAGAAAGGCCTGGTGAACTGCTTCTGTAAAGACTGTTTTTGTTAGTTACCTTCAAGTTGATTCAAACTCATAGCACTCTAATGGACAAGAAAACTCTATGGAGCAGTTACCCTCTGTAACAGTGAGGTGCCATAAGTTGAAATCAATTCCATGGCAGTTGGTTTTGTTTTTGTTTTTTAAATACTTTCCTTAGTAAGACTCATTATGGAATATGTAACAGATGCTCTTTATCTGGCATTATAATCTAAAAACTCCAATGCTTTCAAGAAAGTCCCAAGGTTTGATACCCATGGTCTGCTCTATATTGGGTCACTATGAAGGATTATACAGCGACAGATTGACAAAGTGGGTCATTTTAGGGAGATGTGGCTCTCCTGACAGCCATGTGACTGATGTTTTATGAGACAGCTTCTTAGCTAAAAGTGAAATGAAATCTGAACTCTCCTGATCATGGGTATCTTCTGTAACACGGCTTGGAAGACTAATCCTAGACTTGGGTTATCTTAAGAATTTCTACTTAATTGTTGTTTTTAGGTGTCGTCAAGTCGTCTCTGACTCACTGCGACCCCATGTACAACAGAACAAAACATTTCCTGGTCCTCTGCCAGCCTCACTATCCTTGCCATACCTGAGCCCATCATGTCAGCCACTGTATCAGTCAATCTTGTTGAAGGTCTTCCCCATTTTAGCCGACCCTCCACTTTACCAAGCCTGGTATCCTTCTCCAAGGAATGGACCATGCTGACGACATGATATTTAGAATGGCTACAAACAGCAGCATAGACAGTAAAAGAGTCAACAACCAAAAAGAAAGTCTATCACTCTAGTGGTCCTGCAGAAATTAGATGTCAGAATAAAGGGTTAAAATAGTAAAAATGTAACTGACATCACCAAGAAGTTAAACAGAGGATACTCAACAAAGTGTTTCTTAACTGGCATCTGCAAAATAACCCATTTGGGGATTTTGCTTTTGCTGGTCTGAGGTAAAGCCCAAGGTTGTATTTCTGCTAAAGACTTCTCAGATGATCCTGAAGCATATGGCTGGTTAAGAACCATCAATACTGAGCTTCAAGGTTGATTTCTGGTAAGAGGGCAGAATAGTCAGACAAGCTACACAGATCCTCATCAAGAAAGAAAAGAGAAACTAATTGACACAGATACAGAAGATAATTCTGGAGCCTTGAACTTTGAAAGGAAGGATATAGAAGTGGATTAAACACCAACTAGTAGAAGAACCTGAATGAAAATAGTGAGTAAAGAGACAAACAGCTGTGGTCTGTCAGTTAATCTGATGGCACAGACAGCCTGAATATTTCCAAGTGGTGTTAGGACCTCAGAATTAACCTAAAAATCAGCACTGCTCGCCAAGGGCTGCATGGACAACTGTGCTGGTGGCTGATGACCAGCAAAGAAGGAAACAAACTGAGCTGTGGATTTATGGCTGTCTACAGGGCACAACCATTTTGAATGTTTACAAGCAGTGGCCATTTTGGATATTTAAAGTGACAGCATTCTCGTTCAGATTCCAGGGACCTAAGAATAGCCTCTGTTTGCCAAGGACAGCATGGACATAGAGGAGGCTGATGACTGGAAAGGAGACAGGTGGTGAGTGCATGAGTGCTGCCAACTAGTGAACAGAGGAGCACAGTACCCTGTTTACTCAGGTAGCATCCAAACAAAACAAAGAAAATGAAAATCTTGGGTAAACCACTCCAACATACAATCACCAATTAAATATAAACACAAAAACGTCACAATGTCTCAGAGACAACAGACCATCAGAGTCCACATAAAGAAGCAAGATAAAGCAGTAGAAATAAGGGACCAGGACAGAGACCCAGAACACATCCTTGAGGAAGAAGCAGCATTTGGAGCTCCCTGATAGGGAATTCAAAAGAATTCTATTTAGGGACCTTCAATGTATTGAGAGACAAATCAAAGAAAACACTGACAAAATTGAGGAAAATAC